TGGCCTTTGTTTGTATAGAACAGAGAATTAAAGACTTATTAATTGTAATAAATCAAATGCTTAAGTTAGCAATAAGGGTACGCATGCAACCATATTACTAAGATAATCGTAAGGCATTAGTATTACATGCCGTTGTGCAAAAAAAAAAAAAAAATCACAAAATCGGAAAACTAATCAAAATTTGAAAGTGAAGGATAATCATATGCATTTGGAAGTGCAGGAAAGTTATACTGATATCTACGATCCATATAATCGGAGATTAGTGAAGAAAAAGAAGCTAAATGCAAATCATGTGGGATTGGTGAAGAAGAAAAAACCAGTGTAAAAACTGAAGAACTTTTCAAGACATCACTTTCCTCTCGTGTGTAAAACGCATTCAACTCACAATGAAAGCTATAATCGTCTACTTCTTTTAAACATTTGGACTGAGGAGTCAAAACCCTTTGAATTTATATACTCTATCAACTTTGTTGATTATCTCGATATCCTTCTTATTCTTGATTTGAAATTAACACAATTTTAACAGTTGTCATATGTTAAACTCTTTCACCTCCCTCAATGTACTAGCTGATAGCTTAAAAATAGCTTAAGAAACCTAATACCATCACATAAACTTTTCTTTCAGCAATGCTTTTATCAAGAATTTTTAGTACATGTTTGTAATACATATTTTTTTCAAGTCAAGTCACAAAATATTAAAAGTGTCTCAATTTTATCTCACTTGATAATAAGGATGGAAAATGGAAGAAAAAAAATATATTCAATGCCAACATTTTTTACTTTTAATTTTATTTCTTCTTGCACTAGGAATGCATTTGAAATTTTTTCTCAAGACATTCAGTTCAACTTCTAATCTCTCCTATGTTAATAGAATCTAATCTCATGCTAATAGAATTTTAATTTATAATAAATGTGAATTTTGATTCATAATGAATGTGCACTCTTCATGCACTACTGGCACGCGCTCTACGAATACTTTTAATATAATTTCGTAAATTTCCCTTTTAACTCTGTTATCTTCATTCATTTTATTCTTCATAGGAATAAGAATAGAAAGAAACTCATCGTTTTCAATTTTTTCCATTACTCTACTAAGTCGATAAAGTCTGAATATTTTACATTTGTCTTTACTTTGGTGTCACCGGACTGTTTGTCCATTTCGCTGTCGATGACCCCATTGCTGAGGACAGTACTATTGCCTTGGTCATGAGGCTGTTGAGCATGTCGATCACACCTCCACTATTGCTCTCGCCGACCATGATGCCAGAGCGCAACACCCCATCGACACGTTGCTACCCCGATCCATGCTGTCGCCAGACTCCCGCTGCCGTCATGGATTTTAAGTTGATATGGATCTAATTGCAACTTAAAATCTGGTGCTTACCTTATACTTTTATGGGGAATTGTTTTCATTCACCAAACAGCTGATATGGGTCTTCTTAAAATTTGGTACTGATTTTATCGAGTTGTTTTCATTCTTGTTTATTGAATGATAAGCTTCTTTTTTTTTAATTTCTCTAATATGTATTCAGTATGTGCAAATTCTTTCACATAAATATAAATGGATTTATTTAATCTTAAAACAAGTGAGTGAAAAATCCAAATATAAAATACGGTTAAAAATCAAAATAAAGAATAAGAAATTAATAAATATAATAATTTTGAAGTAAGAAATGATAATAAGACAATTTTTCAGATAAAAACAGGTAATTACAAAAGTGATAAGAGTAGTTTCCTACCCAACTTAACAAATTTATGTATTTATCTTTTATTTGATATATTTTTATATTTTCATTTGGTTTATTGCCCAATTAACCCCTGGTTGGCAGATAAAGTTTTAACAATTATGATGCAAATCCAATTACATTAAGAACCTAAAACAAATTATTATGTTTAGCTTTTTAATTATTGAATCAGATTGGAACATGGCAATGCGGAAAATTACTAATGTCTCTCGATTTTTCATTCTCTTTTCAAATTAATCCCGAGTTGTAGGAGTGTTACTAGTAAGGATTGGTCCTGTCACATTTATTATGTCCATCAATGTCCTTTGAGCTTTCATAAATTTCTCATAACCTATTTCGAGAATAAGACAATTTTTAACATTATTGATGTATGTTCACTAAAGTTAACTAATTAATAACATATCCTAATTCCATGTAAAAATAAAATTATGTGTAAATAGGTCTAGAATGTCACTTGGGCACAAAATGTTCAATTTACTTATTTTGAAATTAAACGAGAATTTAACGAAGATTTAAATTTTATTTAAACAGAGGTTTAGTAGAGCATTGAGAATCCCCTATCCGTAGTTATTTGTTTTGAAATTAAAAAAAAATATTAAATTATATGATATCCAACTAATGTAATTAAACAAAAATGATTTAAACTAAGTTTAATAACATACACTATTTTAAAAAACTCAGTAATTCAAATAAAAGTTCAATCAATAACAAATTAAAATTACCACAAGTTGTAACAAATAATATACAAATATAATAAAAAGAGATACAAATCCAAAATTTGGAAAAGGTTACCAAATGAAATTCATATTTTAGAAGGAAGTCAAACCATTAATTAAATACCAAAACATATAATTTATGAATTATAATTATAAAATATATTCAATTATTACTTATAAAATATATTCCCCATTCCATTTTCGTTTCCGTCGGAATTCACTTCTTTCCCATCACTACTCGTGTTGCTGTTTCCTTAAATTTGCTTTAAATGGATGAGAAATCGGATCTTTTACCGAGTTCAGGTAAGATTGACATATCCTTAGATAAGTCTCTAGTATATTAAAACCTACCTCTCTTGCAATGGGAAACGAAAGCCAGCCAATTTAGACCAAATGAAGATTCTCATTGAATTTAACAAACGGAGTGATGTAATTCTTAGCCTCATACTTTCAAGTAGGTGCGTAAACATATCCTCATCTGTCAAGTTCAAACAACTTGCCTGTCAAATTTGCTATGCACAAGAATCAAATAAAAGAAAAGAAAAAACCCATCTCTTTCAGCTTGGCTTTCAGAGTCAACATGCCGTTGTTCCAGAGTGTGAACAAATGTGATCAACTCGAAAGAGTTGGCTTATCCAAGATGATCTTTTCGATTTTCTCGCTCCTCCATTTCTCCATCCCCCGAAAGGAAAATAGGCATATAATCCCTTAATTAGCTATTGGTTTATCATCTTTTTACGCATGGAGGAGGCTCAGATAGTTGAACTGCAAGGAAGAGGTTAGTCACTCGCAGCCTGCTAATCTGTTTTCTTGAAACGAGTTGAGAGACTCAAATCAAGTCTAGGAACAAGTGTTTGATTCGATACTGCTTTCCCCCTTTGTGATGATACTGCCCAGTTTTTCTTTGCTGTTGAAATTCTATTCAAATTATAGTTGCTAAAGTAAATCCGAGTAGTATTTCTCAATTAATAATGCTTATGCTTTCTCGCTTATGCTCTAACTTTTGACTACAATGTTCCTAAATTGGCTTTTCTAAGCTTTGTTTTGGTAATAGTTCTTGACCAGAATCGTTTTTTGTTGTTCGCTTCAGCTGTTGATGGCACAGAGCCAAACTCAACTAAAGGCATTCATTTATCAAATCAACCTCAAGCTCCTCCAAGATTCAAACATTACAAGTGGTGGATTCGTGTGATGATTTACATCTTTTTTCTTGTTGCTGGCCAATCAACGGCTACTCTCCTGGGAAGATTATACTATGACAAAGGTGGGAATAGCAAATGGATGGCAACATTTGTTCAATCAGCTGGCTTCCCAATTCTCCTTCCCCTCTTGTTTTTCTTCTCACCACCAACCAAATCAATCACCTCCAGCAACCCCATTGCTTCCTCCATCGCAAGGCAACCAAAGACTTCCACCCTTGTCTTTCTCTATGTTGCCCTTGGTTTACTGTTGACAGGTGACAACATGATGTACTCTTATGGTCTTTTATACCTACCAGTCTCCACATATTCTCTGCTTTGCGCCACTCAGCTGGCCTTCAATGCTGTCTTCTCCTTCTTCCTCAACTCCCAAAAGTTCACTCCTCTCATACTCAACTCCCTAATCCTCCTTACCATCTCAGCTGCCCACCTGGCGGTCAATGCAGACTCTGAGAACACCTCAACAGTTTCAAAAGGAAAGTATGCAATCGGATTTTTATGCACTGTTGGAGCATCCGCAGCCTACTCTTTGTACCTTTCCCTGGTGCAATTGTCTTTTCAAAAGGTTATCAAAAGAGAGACCTTCTCTACTGTCTTGGATATGCAAATATACCCTTCGTTTGTTGCAACCTGTGGCTGCATAGTTGGGTTATTTGCAAGCGGGGAATGGAAAAGTTTGTCAAAGGAAATGAAGGAATACCAGGAAGGACAGGTATCATATCTGATGACTTTGATTTGGACAGCTGTGACATGGCAGATTTCATCGATAGGTTTGTTGGGATTGGTTTTTGAAGTATCTTCTTTGTTCTCCAATGTCATCAGTACAGTGGCTCTGCCCGTTGTCCCCATTCTTGCTGTGATTTTCTTCCATGATAAGATGGACGCAGTTAAGGTGGTGGCCATGCTGTTGGCAATCTGGGGCTTTCTTTCTTACATCTATCAGCATTATTTGGACCACTCTGAATCCAAGGTGAAGAAGGAGAATTCCAATGAAGTTTCTGTGGCTCTTGCAGAAGTCTAGAGGTGAATAATTTGCCATCGAATTGACCATTTAATACTGTTCCAGTTCATGCTAAATCTAGGTGCCACTCTGCAAGAACTTGAGCATGGGCCTAAAATTTAATTTTTGTAGCCTGAAATTACGAGGCCCTTGAAACTAAATTGATCCAGGGAGCATGTTAGTGCTTTCAACGTTTTACCATTGTTTAGTACCAATGGATGTGTAGACTACTACATGAGAGGACTACACTTTTCACGATGCTTTGAAAAGAAATTTCTTCCAAAAATGAAAAAATTCAACTACTATAATAGCTAGTTTTTAAGTATCTAGCTGTTATTGCTATTTGTTAGTTGTTACTAATATCCCCAAGTATTCAATCAGTTCAATTAATTCAGTTTTAAAACTTTAAAAATTGAATTAATCGAATTCGTATAAAAAAGTAATATAATTTGATCAAAATATATCTTAAAATGATAAATAATCAAAATTAACTTTTATTGATCAATTGAGTTAATTTTAATTATTAATAATATTTACATATAAAGTTACATTATTAACAATCGATTTGTCAATCAATTATTTCAATTTTTATTGATTAATACTTATAGATAAGCATTAACGTTTCATGGGAATTAAATGAAAGAGTTACAATCATGAGCAGTTTAGTTGGACAATTCGTGTGTTGGATAAGGGAGTCCGCCAAAATTCAAAATTATTCAAAACTCTTTCAACTCCAGGCACCCACCCAGGCAGCTTTCAGGCCCAGCTTCAGTTTTGAAGCAACGGTCGCATGGGCGGAAACTAACAAAATCCGGAAACGGTAAGGAAAATATTTAAAAACAACAAAACACAGTTGTCCAAATTGCAAAGGTAATTCAAAAGGGAATATGATTACGTGGCGAATTTATATACCCCGGCCAATATCTCATCATATCAACTCCAAGGCCCACAGCTCCAAACTCTAAATAACAATTAATTTAATTAATTCCCCTCCCCAGAAAGAGCGAAAATAGCTTGTCTACTTCTCTTCTTCTTCTTCTCTTTCCTCTCAATCTCCTTCGTTGCGTCCGTTATAGCAATATCCCTCCGTTCGAATTCGAAATCCAACTGTAATTCTTCCTCTGCTGGCGTTTCTGAAGAACGAGAAGAAAAAGACGAAGAAAAAGGAGGTGAAATGGCGACAATGGAGAGCTTGATTGTGACGGTGAATAGGATACAGAGAGCTTGTACGGTGCTCGGTGACCACGGTGGCGAGAGTGCTTTGCCTACTCTTTGGGAAGCTCTTCCGTCTGTCGTCGTCGTCGGAGGCCAGGTTTGCTCCTTCTCTCTCTGTTTAACCTCTAGTGGCTTTGCTGCGCTTCTCTGTTAATGTTATAATTTACTGTGAATGTAGAGTTCGGGAAAGTCATCGGTGTTGGAGAGCATTGTAGGACGCGACTTCCTTCCCAGGGGATCAGGTTTTGATTTTCTTTTTTTGAAATTATTTGTGCTTTTGTGTTGAATTTTCGTTTTGAATTCTGTTTAGCAGCTGAGAAAATAGAAAGAAAAAGGTTTAAAAAAAAAAGAAGAAGATGAACGTCTTTATGTGTTCTTTTGCTTTCGATTTACTACTAGACTGGAAATTCAAGTCAAAAAGGTCAAACTAAGTCAAACTGATTCAAGATATATATATATATATATATATATATATATTAAATTAATCCTCAACTCGTCAACAATAGTCACACTGGTGTAGCATGCTTAATACTGTAAAATATATTATAATTGGTTGCTTTTGTTGGCAAGCAGAGAAGCCTAGTGCTGTCTGTTCCTTTATGACATTGTTCAAATTTCAGGAATTGTGACGAGGAGACCTCTAGTGTTGCAGCTACACAAGACAGAACAAGGGGTACAAGAATATGGAGAGTTCCTTCACTTGCCCAAGAGAAAATTCACAGACTTCGGTACATAATTTGTTATGTGAACCTATTTATTGTTGATTAGTTTCGTAACCTTCAAGTTTAGTCACCTTTATCTTAAATTCTGAACATTATGATCAACCTATTTCACATATTGGGATTTGGTGCTAGTTTCCTATTCATGCAAATTATTAGGCAACCTATTAATTTGTTCATAAGTTATCCGGTAATTGTTATCATTGTAAGAAATTGTCTTTTACAATGATTTCTCAACTTCAAGCCTTGCATCACTAATAAGGCATTTGTTGGTCCACTGATTTTGTGGTTCTCTTGTTTTCTGATGCAGCCATGGTTCGGAAGGAAATCCAAGATGAAACTGATAGAGTGACTGGGAAATCAAAACAAATTTCCCCTGTACCCATTCATCTCAGTATCTACTCACCAAATGGTAACGACATTCAGAATTTGATTTCTGTTGCAGAAGTTGAAAACATACCTGCTTACTTTCATTCTTTGTTGTCCTTGTAGTTTTTGTAATCTTGCCTTCCATTATCTGACAAATCTAGTTTATGTCTTGGCAGTTGTCAACTTAACACTGATAGATTTGCCTGGTTTAACAAAGGTTGCTGTAGGTATACTACCCAATCCCCTCCTGAAGTTATTCTCCTTTCTTTTAATTTATTAGATTGTAAATAGAGGTCCTTGTTATTGGCAGAGGGACAGCCAGAGAGTATTGTTAAAGACATAGAAAGCATGGTTCGCTCATATGTTGAGAAGGTAATGGGAATTTTTCCTTTCTCACAATAATTTGTGGTGGATGGCAGCAAGAAGAATACAATTAGTGGCATGCTTCTTGGATTTACATAATATGGTTATAACTATAAATTATCCTCATCACAGACTTTTGATGCTTAATAGACCTCATCACAATAATTTACATGATATGCTTAACAGACTATTGATACTTTTGATGCTTACGCAAAACAATTTATTAGACCTTTGGGGGTTCAAATAACTGATTCTTTTTCATGGAATGTAGCCAAACTGCATCATTCTGGCCATAACTCCAGCTAATCAAGATATAGCGACATCTGATGCTATGAAGTTGTCTAGAGAAGTTGATCCAACAGGTATCTCTCTACTTGTCATTTCTGGTTACAATTTGATTGGCCTGTAGGAATATGCTATCATAGTCGTTATAATTGTACTAGAGGTTACATCTTTGGTTTTCCTTTTCCCAGGTGAAAGGACATTTGGTGTATTAACGAAGCTTGACTTGATGGACAAGGGAACAAATGCTGTAGATGTAAGCTTTCTTCCTATTTTAATATGCATTAATAATGAGTTTGTGACTTGACTTTTGGCATGTGCTGCAACATATAAAGTCTTAAGTAATTCTGTTTTGTTGGTTAAATACCGAATAGGGCATTCATCCATATGATTTATTTCCCCTTACCCAGTGTACGTATTTTTGCTTTTACTTTTAATTGAAGGTTCTTGAGGGAAGAGCTTATCCACTTCAACACCCTTGGGTTGGAATTGTGAACCGTTCACAAGCTGACATTAACAAAAATGTTGACATGATTGCTGCTAGGCGGAGGGAGCATGAATTCTTTGCCACTAGTTCTGATTATGGACATTTAGCCAGCAAAATGGGCTCAGAATATCTTGCAAAGCTTCTGTCAAAGGTTTTATTTCCTAGTTATATGCATAACTATATCTGTATAGCATGTATGTTTACTGATTAGAATATTTGTTTGGCATCAGCATTTGGAGTCTGTAATTAGAGCCCGCCTCCCTGGCATTACTTCTTTAATTAACAAGAGCATTGACGAACTTGAAGCAGAGTTATCCCATCTTGGTAGACCTGTTGCTGTTGATGCTGGGGTGAGGAGCCTCTGAACTTTTATCTTATTTCTTGATATAGGGATAACCATCCATTTCATTTTCAATTTAGATTGTTTTGCTTTTATGTATCAGGCCCAGTTGTACACTATCCTAGAGTTATGTCGAGCATTTGATCGGATATTCAAGGAGCATTTGGATGGAGGGTACTATATTTAGATCTTTTTGTTCTCGCTTCCATTTTCCTGAAGAAACACACCAGAAATTAGAGATATAATGTCCGTTACAACATAACACTTTATCATTCCTGTTTCCATTCTTTTTCTAGGCGGCCAGGTGGAGACCGCATTTATGGAGTTTTTGACCACCAGCTGCCTGCTGCTTTAAGGAAGCTTCCATTTGACCGTCATTTGTCACTGCAAAACATAAGGAAAGTAGTTTCAGAGGCAGATGGGTACCAACCTCATTTAATCGCTCCTGAGCAAGGTTATCGACGCCTCATTGATGGTGCGCTTAATTACTTCAGAGGCCCAGCTGAAGCTTCTGTAGATGCTGTAAGTTCCCTTTTCAAGGTGGCAATTTTTCGTCATCTTGGCTAGTTCTCTGTTATTAGTGCATAGCATAGGGCCTCTGGTGCTTCTTGGAGGTGGGTGGTATGGAGAGGGTATTGTAGTTGTTTACTTTACTGAGGGTTTAGGGAATGCTGTTTGCTGGCTTTAAAATTAAAAATTAAATATATCTTGCTGTTTCATGCATTAAAAGCACTGGAAATGTAACTTGTTTTTAATAATTGGTGATCTTTATTGCAGGTTCACTTTCTTTTAAAAGAGCTTGTAAGAAGGTCCATTGCAGAAACTCAGTAGGAATTGAAACTTTACTCTTCTTGAAGAAGAATAGTGATACTTTAGGGACAATGGAAGAATATAAGTTGGTCTTTTGGAATTAAACGGAGTTGAAAGCGCTTTCCAACTCTCCAAGCTGAAATAGCAGGAGCTGCAAATGAAGCATTGGAGAGGTTTCGTGAAGATAGCAAGAAGACAACTTTGCGATTAGTGGACATGGAGTCCTCATATTTGACAGTGGATTTCTTTCGGAAACTCCCACAAGAAGTGGAGAAAAGTGGAAACCCAACTTCCTTATCTGCAGATAGATACGCAGAAGGCCACTTTCGCAGAATAGGATCAAATGTTTCTTCTTATGTGGGGATGGTGTCTGACTACGCTTAGAAATACCATTCCCAAGGCTGTGGTTTATTGCCAAGTGAGGGAGGCCAAGCAGTCATTACTTGATCACTTCTATACACAAGTGGGCAAAAAGGAGGTACCCAATCATATTTACTTCTTCATTCTCCCTAACGTGCACATGCATGCATTTGGATATAGTCGTGTTTCCATCCACACAGTAATTCAATTGTGAGTGGAGTTCCATTCAAACTGATACACTCGCGGAGGGGGAGGCATGCTGGTTGGACAGAGGGGAAGGGAATAGTTGTTTCCTGACTCGTTTTCATTATTTTCTTGTAGGGCAAGCAGCTAGCACAGTTGTTGGATGAAGATCCTGCATTGATGGAAAGGAGGCAGCAATGTGCCAAGAGGCTTGAGTTATACAAATCTGCAAGGGATGAGATTGATTCAGTCTCATGGGCCAGGTGAAACTAGCTCTGAGTGTCTGCAAAGAGATCCTCTGCATCATAGCCAAAGAATGAGGGAGGTGCTGTAGAAGGTTTAAGTTGTTGATTGTTCAGCTTTCATTTGTTGCATTTTCTTGTGCAGCTCCTGTTTTCTACCCGTCAAACCTAAAAGTTTTCTGGGACATTGTTCTATGCTTGGTTATTGTTTTCTTCAATCAGAGTCTTTGTTGTAATCCTTTTGTATAAGTGTGCAGTGAATAGCTTTTCCAATCCATGTCTATGGCATATATCTCTATTGAGAATCTGAATATTTCTAATCCTATTTTACTTTCCTTTAATCTGTTTCTGAGATTGATATGAGAAAAAACTTCATGAACTCAGGAAATGAAAGTAATTAATCTCTTTAACGGCTGGAAATTATCTTTAGTATAAATAGAGCTTGAGACTCCCCTAAAAAATTATTATTCAAATAATGTTGGAGTTTCTGAATTGCGTTGGCTTTCAAGCTGCTGTTTTCAAAGATCCTCCCTTCTTATCAAGCTCCTCCAAAGCCGCCCATAACTTTGGATCCTCATAATCCTTTATGAGATAAGTAGGATCTGCTTCCATTAGTAGATTTTCTGGATTTCTAGTAGTTAGGCCCACAACAGGCATCCCAGCTGCTACTCCTGCTTTTATCCCTGATACAGAGTCCTGGACAACAAAAAACACAGTCAAGTTTTTCAAATTCATGAAGAATCCAAATTCGTGAGTTTCTTCTGCCGAAACCATGGTTTGGAAAAAAGGGGTGATACCTCACATACAAATGTATGATCCTTTGACACCTTGAGCACTTCGAGTGCCTTCAAGTAAGGGTCTGGGTACGGTTTGGCTCGCTCGCAATCACTTCCTAGAATAACAACATCAAAAAAATCTTTGAGGCCTAGTTTCGAGATCATCATTTCAGCATTCTGCTTCGGAGCATTAGTAACAGCTGCTCGCTTTAACCCACGATCTTCAATCCATTTCGTTAATTTGTACAGGCCCTTTATAGGTGGTAAGTTTTCTGAGGCCAACCTGTTCATCCATACAAAGAATTAAAATGTAGCCAACTGCCAAAGACTTGCCTAGTTTGCAAAAGGAATAAAACATTTTCACCTCCGAAACATTGCTTCCTTATCTTCCAAGAACTTTGTGCCCCTTGGCATATCATCAGGGAAGAGACGCACAGCAATATCGTGATTGTGCTTACCAGCTATATTTTCGACAAAGAATTCTTCATCTATTGGAACTCCATTATTGAAACCAATCTGTTAAATACATTAGCATATTAGCAAATTACCCCCGAGAATTACCCTCAGATTTGTAAGTACATTCAGGTAATGGGCTCTGAATTCGACAAATGAAGAATATGATTGAGCTCGAAACACAATGAAATCGAACAGAACAGATTCTTTGTTTGAGAGTAAAAGAAAGGTGAGCAGAAATTTCAGAAATACCTCTTGGAGCATTTCACGAAACGCATAGTGGTGGAGAGGATCCGAATCACATAAAGTTCCATCAACATCAAACAGTACTGCTTCCAAAGGAGCAAGATCGGGAATTGATTTCTTGCTGCGTTACAAAGACAAAAGTGTTAAATTACGACAACCATATCGAGAAGGCAAGATGGTTTTCCTTATCAAAACATAATTGGAGAACATAAAATGCATATAAATTATGATTTAATGTTTTCTACTTGAAATGATTTGCAGTCCCAAGAAGAATTCGATTGCATACTTGACAACATAAGACCAGCTAGGGCAGAACTATGCCTTGAGGTAGTTAAGTAAATGAACTAAATCTTAAAAAGAGGAAGGATTTATCTAAACAAACATCAACTCACAAGAATGATTAAATCCCGACATAAAAGAGCGATCCTGGCATCGGAGAAAACTAAAAATCTAATAGTGCAAAATAAGAAAGAGAAAAGAGTAAATCTAATTATTATCTAATGAATACAACTAGGAGAATAAATGCATAAACAGGGAGGCAATGAATGTTCTTACGTAAATGTCAAATTGATCAGTATAGTAGAACGTAAAGAATTTTCACCCAAGAAAGAAATCATGAAACCAAAGAAAGATCATCCATCACAATATTTCATAAAGAAAATCGATTTAAGTCCTAGCTGTTGGCCGTGCATGAACAGAGGCATAACAAAAACAAAATAAAAAAAGGAAACCCAGATTGCTACATTGGATCAATGGTGGCTTGAGAGAAAAACTTCGAAAAATCGAGAATAACCCATCCCAAATCCAATACAAATCTTCCAACATGTATCAAATCAAAGCACAAAAAAGAAGAAAAAAGGACAGAGAGTTTGCATACCTTTGCACAGAATTCTCACCAGCCGTCATTGGCAATGAATTTTGTTCCGCAAAATCTGGTTTCTTAGTGATGGGGTTTTGAGTTGGAGATCGAAGTGAATGTGGTGATGAATATAAAGAATCAAATTTGATAGAAGGAATGTACCACGGAATCAAGAAACGGCAACAAATTGGCCCTCACAATTTTTCCTTTGTCCAGTTTTTGTACTTGTATTAATTGCGTGGGCGGTGGGGCTGCTTATTTTATTTCAGAATTATTATGGTTTTAAATGTAAAATTTAGATTATTTTACATTCGGGCTATTCAAGTTTAAGTTACTTCAGTTTAATCCGTTAATTTTTAAAATAAAATTAATTTAAGTTTGAATTGTTTCAAATTAAATTTTCAAGTTATACGGATTTAAATCAATTTAAATTTTGATTATTTTAAATTTAGATCATTTTAAGTTTAAGTTAGATGGATTTGATTTATTCATTTTTCTTAATCAAATTAAATTTAAATTTGAACGAATTGCATGAATTTATTAATAAATAGCTCACTTATAGTTGGATAATTTCACTTGACCTATTACTGTTCTTTAAAATTTCGTATACGACTTTAAAATTTTGTTGAATTATCTACGAAGATAATTCATTTTAATTTCTATATTAATAGTGTGTAAGACTTATAAGGATAATTTCATTGAATTATCAATAATTTCACTTGGCCTATTAATGTTATTTAAAATTTCATACATGATTTTAAAATTTCGTTAAATTATCTATGAAGATAATTCATTTTAATTCTATATTAATAATGTGTAAGACTTGCATTGATAATTCCTTGAATTATCAATAATTTCACTTGACCTATTAATGTTCTTTAAAGTTTCGTACATGACTCCAAAATTTTGTTGAATTATCTACGAAAATAATTATTTTAATTTCTATATTAATAATATGTAAGACTTATATACGGATAAAAGATATTAGTAGATATAATTACATATGAATAAGAGATTATTATTAAATTATCAATTCAACAATCCATCAAATTCTGATTTTGCTATTATGATATTTCAATTTTCACTTTCCATTTGCAGAAAAAATAATAATTGTTCATGGTGAAACGGTAGAGGTATTCTACCAGAAATAGAATAAAAAAAGAATCCAACTCCATTTCTAAGTGCTCCACAGATGCAAAAAGAGGAAAATTGTGGGGTGCTTTTGTAATTTAGAAATAGCATCAGGTTCCTCACTTTTAGCAACGCTCACACTTTTGGTGGCCACGGATTTTCAACTTTCCGCCAAACTTGGCACTTAGGCTGCCACACACTAATTTCACTGCTCTTTCCTTTTTCTCGCTCTCTTTCGTCTTTCCTAATTTAACACGTTTCTGCATATTTTTATACAGTTTTAAATTATTTTCTTGAAATATATTTAAATCTTGAAAAAGTTGGTGAAATCGAAATTGGCTACTTCCTCTTGCACTATTTTGTTGGAATAAATAGCCATGGTGCCATCAACATCATAGGATTGCATTCATTAGACTATGACCTGTGCATTGCACACGAATCTCTTTTTTATTTGCCTTTTTCTCTCTTTTTTAATTTTTTTAATATTTTTTCTTTTCTTTTATGGCCTCCACGTGGTTAGAGGTGGAAGCCCTTTTACTTATGTAATAGATTAAGAGATTAGGATTAAAAAAATGGGATGAAATTTACATTAGATTAAAAAAACATCAACTTGGGTGGCTAGAACCTAGAACTAGAATCCATTAGTTTGGGCTTTAACCAACATTGAGACCAGGCCCTGCAGAGTTCAATTTATTCGTTGTTTTGAAAAAAGCCCATGTATTTTTGTCTGAAATCAAATAGTGATTAGTTGGTGGATGGGCTTTTCTTAAATATATGATCTAAGAAAAATTAAAAGAAGTTTAATTGATGGGCTTTTCCTATAATTGACATTAAATATCTTTATGATTGAATTTTAACAAATATAGATTTGTTCCTAGTATCTTTTGACAAGTCTTAGATTACTCGTTGGTGGGGACAATTCACATTTGGTGGGAACACCAAATGTGGTGATATAAAAGCACTAAACAAGGTAGCAGAGTTACAAGATTTGAAGTTGGAGAGGGACCAAAATGTGGTGATGTAGGTCAACTGTTCAAAGAGATTGAAAAAGTCGAATATAAATTTGAAAGATATACTTCTTCTTAGATATAACATACTAGTAATATTTGTGAGAAATTTCTTTAAGAACTTAGGGGCAGGCCCTAACGCTCATTCTCGTTGATCTTACAAGAGAAACAGTGCAGTGCCCAAGGTGAGTGGAGCACTAGGGATGTTGCTTTCAACGGGCTTGGAACTGATGGCTTTGTACAACTTTATAGCTTGAATTGAAACGTGGGAGAAGAGAATCAAACGATTACGTACTGTTACTCTCCAAGTTGAGAAATTCTCCTTTGTCTGGCTGCTTTTTCACCCAAAGTAATACTGAAGGGAATAAGAATAGGACGAGCAATACCTCGATATAGCTTTGGCATGGTTCTCATTGTCCTCGAGGGTTCAAGTGGTACTGCTTTGGTGGGTGCAAGCAACGAAAAGCACTGCAGGCTCTTGAGGAAAAGTAGATTCAATAACATTTCAAATACTTGATTCATCCAATACTATTGTTTGAATTAATCATCCAAAACTTCCATGATATGCATGCTAAATCCTAATATCTAGTTGGTATTGGTTTCTTTTGAATCAGTCGAAGCCATCTCTGATCTCTCCTCTGTACAAAACATTTCACGTTCCTGCCTGTCAAATGGAAAAATCTGTCAGAAAACCTAACCGGATTTTCCTTCCAAGATGCTAGAAAATTTTGCTTTCCTGTAATAAATTTATCACAGCCAATTGTCAATGCAAAGTAGAGAAAGAAGAGGAAAGTGAATGTAAAGCATAATAAGTTATTCTGAGGACAGCAATGCATCATCTTTCTTCTCTTGTCTCCTTCGGCTTCACCTGCAAAATGCAAATGGGGGATAAAATAATCAGTTTGTGAATCATGGTATTACTGAATTAGAACGTGAAACATCATAAGGACAACATAAAAAAGGATTTTGGGATTAAAAAACTGTTTAGGTAAACTGTAAGCCACCAAAAGCTTAGAAAACAATTTAGGTCGATGTTGTTGCGTGATTCGAGTTCTAATTGTCACGGGCAAGACTGAAAGATACTTTTAGACCTATAGCTATAGCTTCATTTGAATCCATGAAAGCAACTGCAAGCTTTATGAAGGCAAAGGTTAATTTATTCCCATATCACTTCCACTAAAGGAAAAAATGACGCCAAATGGGGTACCAAAGCCGAAAATGGATTCCATGTCACGGCTGATGTGGTTCAAATTCAATGCATTTCTTTCACGTCGGTCTACGTCGGCGTGCTGTGTAAGCGAGTGGTTCCTTCGGCCCCAGAAGGAAAATTTTGCAGTCAGCTTGGCTTAGGTATGTAATCAAGTAAGATAACTCAAAAATGGAATTGTAAAGGTTTGCCAGAGTCGGTTAGCATACAAGCACAATACACAGTTATAACCAGTTTTACGTGGAAAATCAGCTCTTGAACGATTAATAACAAGCGAAAGTGATCATCCAATCTCCACAAACAAGGATATTAGCTAGTGTGATTGATTAACTAAAGCTTTCTATTAGTTTTACCACCACCTGGAATAGCCATGGTGGTGTGTTTTCTAAGCAAATAAACAATTCCTTCTTTACATTCATTTGAAGACAATTTCCTTGAATAGTTTTAGCAACACGGCTGTTTGACAAAACGTAGAAATGGGGTGTTTCCCTTGCACCTTCCGCTCCCAAGAAATCACAGCCCATGTGGTCATAGCTAGTGGGAACATCAAGAAAAATTAATGTGTAACCTAGCTACGGTTCTTTAAGTGCAAAACCACCAAACTCTCCTCCATGGAATTAACTCGAGACAAACCATTGTTACATAGCTATTGTTTCAACATCCAACCTACTTGCAACCTCTCTCTTTCTCTCTCTAGTTAGGTAAGTAAAGAGTCAATAAGACCAAACCCGTCATGGTCAAATATATAGCTATTGCATGAACAAATTAGAAAACGTTTTGAGGCATCCAACATTTTCACATTTAGTCTTATAAATATAACATTTCTTCTGATGTGAATGATGATATCGGTAGCAGAACTATGAAGATTGCAAACAGAACAAAATCTTCATCTTCAAATGGCAGTTTGGGAGAACATTAATTAATTAATAACACTACAATAAAGTCTAGCTGCATGACTATTGTCAAAATACTCGTAGGAGATTTCAATAAGGAAAGGAAAAGTGCTTCAGAATTTGAAAAGTCAAGAGGGATGTTTCCACATAGTTCCATAACAAGTACTTCTAAGTCTAAAACAATAGCTGGGAAATACAATCCTAACAGAATTCCACTCAATGTTTATTTACAAAATGTCAAAGTTGGCAAGGTTTACCAGACTACGATATTTTGGCTGCTTGCTTCACTATAAATACCAGCTGCAGACCCCGTTATTCCATGCCCTTATCTTCTTTGATTTCATTGTCTTTGCTCATTGAATCCTCTATGGCTCTTTCTCTTCAATCCCTTTTGATCCTTTTCGCAGCTTTGCTTCTCACACAAAGTCTGGCAGAGGCAGCAACATGCAGCAACTGTTTCACCCATTCACGAGCAGCCTACTATCCAAACTCTGATGAACATGGAACAGATGGTAAGGGAATACATACAAGGAATGCGTACTGCGTATTGTGCATAATACCGACATAAATGCTCACAAATTTTCTTAACTGAATTCCAGTAGGTGCATGCGGTTTTGGCTCCTTTGGAGCAACAATAAATGGTGGAGATGTATCCACAGCGTCTGAACTCTACCGTAATGGTGTTGGTTGTGGTGCTTGCTACCAGGTATTAAAGAAAGATGTGCCCTTGCACATGTCAAGAAATTTAAGTATAGATGCCCTTTTACATGCTTAAATAATATTAAACATGCTCTTTTATGATGCAAATCGCACTTTCAATTTACATTGAACCAATTCTTACTTTTGCAAGGTGAGGTGCACCAACAGCAAATATTGCTCAGACAAAGGTGTGACAGTGGTTATAACTGATCAAGGCTCAGGTCACAATACCGACTTTATCCTGAGCAGACGAGCCTTTGGTAGGATGGCTCAGACCACAGATGCAGCTGCATCTCTATTAGCCCAGGGAGTTGTTGACATTGAATATAGGCGGTAAGATTTCTCTACATTGAGATGCATTTAAGAAAGAAGCATCTTCAGGAAAATGTTGTACACTTCCCCTTTTTATTCTCCTTAGTAGCAAGAAACCAGAAGTATACCACATAATGATATGACTAACTCATGGATCTCTTACACAATTCCTCTCTTTATACAGTGTTTCATGCAGCTACCCCAACAAAAATATCACTATCATGATTGATGGGAACAGCAGTTACCCTCATTATTTGGCATTTGTTCTATGGTATCAACAAGGTGACAAGGATATCACAGCAGTGCAGCTATGTGAGGTATTATGCTCTTTCTGAAAATAACTTTCTGTTTAGTCTTCTCAACTGGTATGGACCAACTAAGGAGTAGTAAAGCGAGGATGAATTTGTTAACACTTATTAACGGGTTCCGTCTAATATGTGCAGACTCAAAACTTTGTGTGCAAGCTATTGGATAGGAGTTATGGAGCAGTATGGACAACCACTTCACCACCAAGTGGTCCATTGTCTTTAAGGATGCTATTGAGTGGAGAGGATGGAGATGAGTCATGGATTGTTCCTATTAATAACATACCAGAAAATTGGAAAGGTGGAGAAACATATGACACCGGAGTTCAAATTAATATCTAGAAATATGCACCAGAGTCATTCATTTCTTTGTTTTAGCAATACCAATAAAAGAATTAAGTCCCTAGCTTTCTTCAAAAATGTCTTTCATTTTGTTTAATTGGTTAGTATATATTTTATTATTTTTGTGTCAAGGAAGGGATGACAAACTTTACTAAGAGATATTCTTATGTTTTCTTTGTAATATTGACTAATGAAATTTTATGTTTCTTAAATAAAGAATTAAATTTCTCAAAGCAGTCATCTATAAAACAGCACTAAACATATGGTCAAGGAAAAGACCTTGACTTCTACTTCTAAACATAGTTCTCAAGTTTTATTGTTACTCCTGATTTTAGCCACAAACATAGTATTCCATTACTTAACCATACCAAACAAATTTCATAATTTTCATGACAATTCAACATACCCTGATTGTTCAGGCAGCAAATCCAGCAGTGGTTCTTAAAGACCTAATTACAAAAACGACCTCCTATCCATTCTCATAATGCTTCTTCCATTAGTTTCCAATATAGCTAAAATATGAATAAGTCCAATTAATATTAGCAAAAATACAGTGCCTTATCATGATGCTATTCAGAAGTGCAACAAATATCAGCTTATGTCAACATGTATATTCAGAATAGATTTCCAAACATTAACCTACAAGGAAGAACTTTAATAATCATCACAAGAGGGCAAGGGGGAAAAAATTGAAGGTTCAAAGTTAAGTATACTTACAAATAATGGCAAAGTAAGATGATACTGTTTGGTGATAATCCCTACTTGAAGCAGGTGCAGAAAGAAGGGAAGTTCTCCAACTAGATTCTCGAATAGCATAGCAAAAGCTGAACGAACTTCCCAGAAATTTACATTTGAGTAATCTATTACCTAAAAAAAAATTTTAAAGTTTGAATCAGGTGGAAGTGGGTCAACACACCTCTTCAGCTTTACATTGTCGTGGCCTTATCCTGATAAACTGCAGTCGGATATTCTAAGCCCATCCAGTTGTTATGTTTATATAATTGTAGCCATTGCCCTACCCATGCCCTTTTCTAGAGATGTATTCTCTGGAATTTTTATTCTTTGACCAGCTACAAGTTCCTTTTGTGCGTTTTTCCAATCATTTCATTCTCCCCAAAATCTTAAACCCCAAAAGAATCTCCACAAGACAGTTTTAACTGAACGCCCAACTCCATCAACATAGAGTATATCATGGTTCTCTGATGCGGTGATGCACTTGTTTCTGACAATTCCCTATCTTTGATGAACTTTCTAATAATTTCTACTTCACCCCACTTCTCTTTCACCGAATATATGTAAGATAATAATACATATGGCCCAACATCCATCGGTTCCAACTCAATTAGCCGCTTGGCTATGAGCTCTCCAAGCCCTAATTTCGAATGGGTCCTACATGCAGAAAGCAGAGCTCTCCACAGGGCAGCCCCTGCCTGCACAGGCATCTTCCCCTTAAGCCCTTTTGAATGTTTCACCAAACCAACCTAAGTAGATGAAACATGCAACCAAAGTGCTCCACCTCGGGTTCAATCTTGTAAACTCAGCACATTATATCAAGGCACCACCAACCCTCAAAAACCTTTCCTGCCTTCTTACATGCAGATAAGCAACTGAGAAAAGTAGCAGCATCAGGCATTCGACCTCTCTTCTCCACATCAATGAACATCTCAAGGGCTTTCTCAACATGGCCGTGCATACCATATCCTGTGATCATGGAAGTCCATGAGAACACATTTTTGTCAGGCATCTGATCAAAAACATCTCTAGCCAAATCCATACCCCTACATTTTGCATACGTTGTCAACAGAGTAGTTGAAAGTAACATTGCATTTGATCTTGTTATTGTCAATAAAAGAATGTACCCACAAGCCCTTATCAAGCCTCCTCAAATTTGCACATGCTGTCATTATGCTAACAAGAGAAGCACTATTAGGCCTAACCTCTGTTCTTTCAATCATCCTATCAAACAACATTAAAGTCTGGCTCACATACTTCTTACATCAAACATATAATGACAACATGATGTTCTAGGAAACAACATCCCTTACAGGCATCTGATCAAAAAGCTTACGGGCCTCTGAAATATTTTCAATCCTTGCATACCCATCAATCATACAATTCCAAGAAAAAAGATCTCTAAACAGCATCTTTTCAAACAACTCTCTCGCCACCTCCATTTCCGCAACACCCGCATAACCTGCAATGATTGAATTCCAACTAAAATTATCCCTCTTAGGCATCTCATTGAACAGCTCACGTGCAACACAACCTGCTCATTCTTCACATAACCATCAATCATCGAATTCCAAGTCACTAAATCCAACACAAACCCATCATCAAACACCTCACGGGTAATCGCAATCTGCCCACAAAACGAATACATGCGAATCAAAGAATTCTTAACACATAAATTAGACTCCAACCCAAGTTTCAAAACCCGGGCATGAACCTTTTCCCCTTCTTTCAAAAACCTAATCTCAGCATAAATTTTCAATAACAATGGAAAAGTATACTCATTATGCTCAATCAATTTACCCACCATTTTTTCTTAGTAGAAACTCAAAGCACCAAATGGGTCATTAAAATCCAAAAAACCCTTCAACACAATATTACCAATGAAAGTATCAGGCTCTTTGATACAATCAAATACCAAAACGGCCTAAGAAACTGACTTCAAAGAGTTGCAGAGCTTTTTCAATACCCGGGTCACCACGGGAGCGTGTTGGAGGAGGTCAGACTTGAGGAGTTGAGTGTGGATTTGGTTGAATGGATTGAAACAAGTGCATGATTCTAAGACTCATAAAATGGGGCGGGTTCTTCTTAAAATGACTGGTCGCTGTTGTTGGTTGTCTCGTGACGTGGGATTTTGAGTTGGTGATCGTTGGGCCACAGCTTTGGTTGGGGTTCAGAGAGGTTTTTCTGGGCTTTGAGGAATTTGTCGATAGTGAGTGAGGATAAGCCTGTTGAAGCGACCAGTCATTTCTTTGCTGTTCTCGTTGTTTGGCGGGAAGGCTTTGGCTTCCAAATTTATAGACAGAAGCGGTAGATATTCAGTGTGTTGGGACCAAAAGGAAAAACAAAAAGGAAATGAATAATACCTTAAATAAACAAATAGCAGATCTTGCCTTTGTACCATTTCACTTGATGTCAAGTATGTGTCTTAAGCAGATATTGCCTGTCAAGTTCAAAACTTAAAAGTTAAAACTGCTGAAAATTGATAAAGGAAAATAAGTGTGAGTGTTTCCTTGGCCATGATTTCACTTTGTGCAAGGGTTGCTGATAGCCTGATAGCAGTCAGGTGCCTGCAGCTTTGCAGTCAAACAGTTTCTTGGGTCTTAGCCCCATTTTGTTAGCTTGATAAAATCCTTTTCCCAATGGTTAAACTGACAGCATCAACGATGCACCTTTGATCAGGAAATGAATAAAATTACACAGCTAAGAAGCCATATGTGATCATCAGGAAGAAACAAGGGCACCAAGTTTTGACAGAAGAAGGAAAACTCACAATGCATTAAACTCTTCTTTTGTATCTACATTATACTTTGAAAACAGCCTCAAGAAGTACATTATCCAGCACTCAAAGAGCATAGTAAAAGCAATGGTAGGTATTTGATCGTATCCTCTCTGTGGCTGGCATTCGGGGACTTCATTCTGCTTTTGCAAACTTTATTTCTTCACCAATCTCCTTGTTGCATGTTACTTGGCACGAAAATCTCCGAGTGATCAAATGGTGATTATTATTTAAATGGGAAATAACCACGAAATTGGGCCCATATAAAATATTCTGATTTCTTCATTTTCTAATGATCTTCTAAGACTATATATAAGGATTTTCTGCAATTTTTAAGCAGTGTACCAAAGTCAGAAATGAACTATCTGCAATTCAGGTCACTAACAGACAAGTCAATTAATTACCTTGGCCACATGTGCCATGGGACCACCCCATCTTGCCTTCAACATTTTATCATTGAGTCCTATATCATTCCTGCAACCAGATGATGCAAATGTAAATAGCTATTGCAAGCAGACGATTAAAAAGAAAAGCCTGCTCTTCATGGCAAGGTAAGGAAAGAAACCAGCAACTTGTACTCTGTAGTGTTCTGTTGGTGAACATGGATGGTGTTTCTTAATTCTTTCCAATTTTGTTTATTCTTTTTGGGGTCTAAGATCATCACTTAGGAAATAGGCTTCATTTTCAGTCATAATATAGCATCTTGTGGCAGTAGATGATAAGGTTAAAAAGCATTGCATGGCCTTTCCCTCTGTAACTTGTTAAACTAACAACATGAAGAAGAGGAAGTGCCCAAAAACTCCCAAATGCTCACAGAAGAACATTTTGATGATGTAGGTTCCTGTGGAAATTTTTGCAATGTGCTCATCTTCCCTCATTCAACAACATAAAATAGAATTTTAAGCCAAAAGAACTACAAGTTAACTGTTGTAGTTATCTTCAGTCTCACCTGGCTCAAGCAAATGGTTTGCTCTTCTCAAGTTCTAACGCTTACAACCTGGCATCAGCATCTTGCTCAAGCGTTAGAACTCTCCCATTCAGTTGTATCCAACTGCACCCAGGGACTTTTCTTACTCCTCTCAATCCCATTTCCTTTCTCAACTTTTGCTCTGCCAAGTACAGACCTCTTGCTGCATATATATTGCAGAGAACCACATGGGCAGGTGCATTCAGTGGGTCCAGCTCAAGCAGTTTTTGGGCAGCATGTTTAGCAATCTCTGCTCCTGTCTCACTGAATCCACATGCACCAAGCAATGCTCCCCAAATAGCACGATCTGGTTCAAAAGGTAGTCTCAATACAAACTCTTCTGCTTCCCTTATTCTCCCAGCTCTGCCCAGAAGATTGATTACAGAAACATAATGCTCTAAACTAGGTTGAATTCCATATATATCCCTCATTGAATTAAATAATTCCAATGCTTTACTGATAAGGCCTACATGGCAACATGCTGATAGAATACCCAAAAAGGTAACAGAATTCGGGTGAATTCCAGATTCAAGCATGGCTTCAAAAATCTTTAGAGCTTCATTTGCTAGCCCATGATGTGAAAATCCCATGATCATTGAATTCCATGAAACCAAATCCCGAGAGACCATAGTTGAGAATATGTTATATGCATCATCTATTACCCCACATTTTGCATACATGGAGATAAGAGAATTCTCAAGAATCAAATCAAATTCATACTGTGTTTTGATAAGCATGCAATGGAACTGTCTCCCCTGATCAAGATCTGCTGTAGCTCCAGCAGCTCCAAAAAGAATGGAATATGTAGCATTCAGAGGAAAAACACCTTGTGCCTTCATTCCCAAAAATAAAGAGATAGCTTCTACAAAAAGTTCATTTTGGACATAACCTGAAATCATTGCTGTCCATGCAACTGCATCCCTTTCTGGCATGTTGTTAAATAGATAACAAGCCTTTGATACTTGTCCAATCCTCAAATACCCATCAATCATTGAAGTCCATGAAATCTTATCCTTGATAGGTGATATGTCAAACATGTACTGAGCCTCTTCCAACTGTCCAATACGAATATAACCATTAATCATTGAATTACACGATTGAACGGCAGAGTTATTCAAGTTCTTTTTGAATATATAAAATGCAAAGTGCATGATACCAAATACTGAATACATGTGAATGAGCCCTCTAGATAACCTGCCATCATAATCATCACATTCCCAGCCATCAACAATTACTTGTGCATGTAACTGCTTGCCAAGAAAAGGAAATCCCATGCCAGCACAAGAATAAGCAAGAGATACAAAAGTCTCATTGTTAGGTCTTATTTCATAGTTCCCTTTCATTTCAAGAAAAAGCAACAGGGCCTCTTCGTAGAAACCATTCCAAGTAAATCCTCCAATCATGGCAGTCCAAGAAACAATATTCCTCTCAGGCATTCTACAAAACAAACAATATCCTTCATTTATTTCACCGGCCCTGCAATAACCTGCTATCATACTAGTCCATGTAACCACATTCCTATCCTCCATTTCCTCAAACAAAATTCTAGCTTCTTTCATTCTACAATTCTCAGCATATCCAGCAATCATAGTGTTCCATGAAATTATGTTACGCACCGGCATTGCATCAAAAACCAACCTTGCCTCCTCCAAATCGCCATTCCTAATCAGCCCACCAATCAGAGAATTCCACGACACAACATTCTTTTCAGGCATGTCATAGAAAAATTTCTTTCCTTCACAAACTCTACCACTTTCCAACAACCCACATAACATCGAAGTCCACGAAACCACATTCCTTTCAGGCATTTCCCCGAAAAACCTCCTTGCTTCACTCATCCTCCCACACTGTACAAAACCCGACAACATGGCATTATAACTAACAATGTTCCTCTCAGGCATGATATCAAACAGCGCCTTGGCTTCATTAATGAAACCATCCCTTGAGAACTTTGAGAGAAGAGAAGTCAAGTGAACAACGCGGGCATGGTTGCTTCTGTGGGGCATTTTGTCGAGCAGGTTACGGGCTTCTTGGAAACGGTGATTTAACAGGTAATAGAGAAGTCGGGAGTCATTAAAAGTGAGTTTTGAGTAATGCATATTTGAGAATATTGTTTGAGAGAAGGAACGAACATAGAGGGGATGGTAAGGAAGAAGAGAAAATAAAGAGCGAGAGAGCATTAGCAGCTATTCCGAAAGGGTGTCGAAAAAAATTTAAAATCAACTAACGAAGCTTTGGAATTTATGTCCATAGATTGAAACGGCGACGTTGAAGTCAGACTTTTTGCCGAAAAACTTGCGGTGCGGTTTACAAGTTTATAATCAACAAAAAATATTTAAGATGACAAATTTTAAATTATAATATCGTATTAAATAAACTAATCTAATTATACTCCTCAAATTATAAAATTAATAAACTTCATTTAATTAGTAGAATTTCATCATATATATATATATATATATATATAGCTCATAGTATGATATTAGTAAAAGGACTTTTAGCTACAGTAAATAGTATATTGTTGGCAGGGATTGTCCTTAAAGAGACCTTGTCATTGTTAATGAATTTGGACCTAATAGAACAAATTATCCAGCTGGGATTGGGATTTTTTCAACAAACATATTGATTATTGGATATATGTAGCTAGCTGACATTATATTTGGTTGATTTATTTAATTTTAAATTGAGCAAGTCCGGTACATGTATTTAATTTCGTATTTTATATTTTTTTTTTGTTTATTTCATGAAATACTCATTTCACGAAATGATATTTGTCTCTTACTTTTTAAATGAGTAAAAAAATTTAATATAAATAGTAAAATACTCTTAATTTTATTTTTTAATCATAATTTCAAGTGGGTCATTAATTTTTAAAATAAATAGTCCATTTCAAAAAAATATTTTTTATTAAACATATAAATACAGTCGTTAGTGATTATTAATATTTCTAATAGTTTAATAACATGATAATATTAAAAAGATAATTTTACATTTCATCTATTTTAAAAATTATCATATTATATAAATTATATTTTTTAATTTTTTTTTTATGAAAAAAAAACCTATCCCCTATCTCTTCCTCGGCTCTGACCGAGGAGTGCCATCTCCCTTCCTTTGAGTGCTTATTGGGAGCACTGATCTGGTGCTTTTCATAATGGATCCGGTGCTCCCCATCGTGGGAGCACCATTAGCGTGTTCTTCAAGAAGTACAGATCTACAAGGATCTTGAGAGCACCAAATTTGGTGCTTTTTAAGAAATTTGATCGAATTTAAATAAAATCTAATCGTCGACCGATTTAAAAAGATTTAAAAAAATTGATACTTTAGATATTTTAATTAATCATTAATCTTGTTTAACTGTTTGGGATGGAATATATATTTTATAAATTAATGAATAGTAAGTAATTATGATTAAAAATTAAGGATAATAGAATATTTTACCTTCATATAAATGACAACCAGCTCTATTAAGTAGACTTCTCTAGTACTAGTTTTATACACATGAATATGGGGCTTGGTTAAGATGTCCATTCATGGCAAAACATTAAACATTAGATTTTCAACAGGTTGGACTCTTCCAAGGGAAGTAATCTTTCCGGATTTGATTGTACAAATTCCCACCAGCTCTAAAACCCAAGCAGTCACTTTACCTTAATTCACACCGGGATCATAGTTAGAGAACATTCACCTTCACGTTTCGCATAATTGATGCAAGAGTGCAATAATCGGTTCGGTGGTTTCTTAACACTGGGATTGTTTCGTAGTGGATTGCACAAATTGACATGGCCAGGCTTCTTTGGTTTGTTTCAAATAAAAATTCAATCAATCACACCTAACTTGGGTGTGAGAAACAAGAAAATCACTGTCCTCTCTTTCTTCTGGGTTAAAATATTTTCACTAGTTTCCTATAAAAAGCGGGCAAGAGCCAGTCCTGATTACCTCAAAGAGATGGCTTCAAGAATCAGAACCCCAGCTCTGGCTGCTGTTTTGCTGCTTCTCTTGCTTGCTTCTGCTCCAGCTTCAGACGCTGCGATTTCCTGCAGTGATGTGATCAAGGACCTGAGACCTTGCGTGAACTACCTCGTGAATGGGACTGGGAAACCGCCCTCTGCTTGTTGTGCTGGAGCCTCCGCTCTTGCGTCCGCCGCATCGTCCTCCTCTGACAGGAAGGCTGCTTGCGAATGCATCAAGTCAGCAGCTAAGAACATAAAACCAAACACCCAGTTAGCTCAGGCCCTTCCTGCTAATTGTGGAATCAATTTGCCCGTCACCATTTCACCTAACGTGGATTGTTCCAAGTACATAAATTTATACGCTTTTCTTTTTCTGTGCTCGAGATTCAACTTTCTTGTTCCATATATTGATTGAAAATTTCCTTTTTCCTTTTTTTGGCGTATCATTTTGCAGAGTTGGTTGAAGAGTTAAAGCGGCTCGAAGGAAAGTGAAGTTAAAGTCCTCCATTTGTGTGGGAGCTTAATTGTTTTGTAATAAACTGGAATCCCGTTATGACTTTTGGATTCCTTCGATGAATAAAGCTCAATCCCACCATCTACCCCGACTTTTTTTTTTGGTTTGTATATATGTGTTCACGTGCATTGTATTTAATTATTTATTATTTTTATATTTTTTATTAAAAAAAGGTTTCAGTGAGTAAATATTTATTGTCTGAAATTATATGTTATTTAATAATATGATTGTAAAAATAAATATTTCTAAATTTTGATTCATTTATGGGTTATGTTTACTCGAATTTAATGTTGGATAATAATAAATGTAACAGGTATACGAGAATAGACATTTGAATTTGATTCTTTTTAATGTTGGATAATAATAAATTCATTGGACAGATCATATTGTGAGAGTTTTTTTTTATTATTTTAGTTGATTGCTTCTCATTTCCCCCCATGGTATCCTTAAAAAATAAATTTTCCCTTAAAACAAATAATTATATCACTTATTGTAACTATTGTTATATACATTGACAGATTATTAAGTGATTTTTAGAATAAATTACTAAAAAAGTAATTTAATTTTTTAAAATTTTTTATTTTGATCATCAAACTTGAAAAAATAATGTTTTGACTATCAACATTTATATGTGTTATTATTTTTTTAATATAACATAATTTTTTTTTGTTTATTCACGTTGGAGGCTGATTGTTTTAAATAAAATTAGAGTTTGTACTTATTAATGAATATATTACTTTTTATTTATAAATAACTTTTTAGTATTTAAAATATGACAATATTAAACCAGCTTTATTCAAAACTTGGATTCAGGTCTTTTGCTAGAGATATTGCTTCTTCGCTTTCAGCAAGTCTTCAATGCTTTTACATATTTCAAGCTTTAAGCTCTTAATCCTTTTCTCTTACCGAGATTGTCCTGTGTCTTAAATTCCAACATTTTCCCTCCTTTTTTATTCCCTTTGCACTGTGTCCTTGCGTCGAGGAAGTATGGACGATTCGGGTGGACGTTCTAGCCGGCCGAGCAAACGAGCTCTACTAACCTCATCAAATCCATCAAATGTGCAAGAAAAAGGATAAGCAACCAAGAAAGAAAAGCAAAAAAAAATCCTAGATAGACAAGCTCGACAAGATAACAGGGTAATTCATTTTTTTTAATTCCGTCAATTGTTATTATAGCTAGTTTATGGAAATATTGGAAGAAAAAGAATTTTTTGAAGTAAAATAAATTCAATATACAAAATCTTTTTGTATTTTGTTTCAACATTTGAAAAATACTTAATATTCACCACAATTAATAAACTCGATGTTTCATATGATAAAGGAGGTGATGGTCGGACAAAAAATTAAATTATAGTTTAATAATGAAAGATAATTTTTTTTAAAAAAAATCTTGTAATCTTTTTTATAATTAATTAAAAAAAACGAAAAGTCTTGCAAAAAAATTTATCTTTTGGTTTAAAATTATGACATAATATTTTAAAAAAGTTCATAAATTATTCAAAAATTAAAATAACTCTTATAATTTTATTGTATTCAATTAAATTCTTATACTTTCATTTTGAATCATATAAGTTTTTATACTTTTATTTTTAATTAAATAAGTTTTTATTACTAATGATTGATTTATTCAAAATATCTTTTATCATTTTATATCGTATGATGCTAACGTGAGATATTAATATATTATAATTTATGATAATTTGACATATTAATATATTATAATTGATAACGATACAATATGTTAATTTGATAAGATAATATTTTTTATTATTTATAGACCACACAAACGTCATACAAGTGTCATATTGATATAAAATGATAAATGATATTTTAATTAATAATAATTAATCAATAAAGTTTATTTAATTTAAAATAAAGATATATAAATTTAATTGAAAGTAATAACAAAAAAAAACTTATTTAAGTTTTTTTAAATAATATATGAGCTGTATTATGACTAAAATTAACTTTAAAATAATTAATTCTACTACTTTTTCAAAATAAATGTTTTTTTATTAAATAAATAAATAAGATATTTTTTAAATTAAATGTATTTGGAGAACATTTCGTCATCTAATTAGTTCTAGATCCAATCTTATTTACGAAGCATCTCCGATGGACCGATATAGCACGACTAAGTTATGGACAATTGATTTCCTTCCTTCTGTTCTTTAATTAATAGGAATTATAAAAGGCTGTTGGACAAACTTTAAATAGAGAAAGTCAAAAGCTGTTGGTCTGTTTCTTAGTTTAGCCATCGCCACCCTAATTTTCTCTTCGCGAAAGCAAAGAAGAAATGGAGTTCTTGGACGAGGACACCAGACCCAGATTTCTCTTCCAATCACGCCTGCAAGCCTCTTCCTCATCCCATGAGAATACCCCACAAAAACCCTCCAAAACCTTACTTTTCCTTACGCTCTCAATCTCTTCCCTTCTTCTCTCTCTGTCCCTCTTCTCTCTCCACACCGAGCCCTTCAAATCCCTCTTCTTTTGGCTCTCCCTCTCACTGTTTCTAGGCCCTTTTGCTCCTCCTTCCCTCACCGGCGGTGACGTTCGCGTCGGTCATGGACCAATTATCCCTGATCCCATCGATGAAGAACCCCAACCTGAGCCTGAATCCAAGAAAAAATTTTCCCAGAAGCGGTCAAAGCCCGATAAAATTGACGAATTGGGTGGAAATCGTGGTTCGTCTGTGGAAAATGCAATTGGGTTTTCGAATTTAGAGGTGAAAAGTAAAAATTCAAATGGGTTTTCTAGTTTAGGGGGAAAAAAAGAAGATCTCCGGAGTGGTTTCGATGGCGAGGAGATGCAGTGGAGTGAGGCAGATGTGGAGATTTTGAAGAAACAAATGGTGAAGAATCCGGTGGGGAAGCCGGGTAGATGGGAGTCTATAGCAGCAGCCTTTAAGGGGAAACATACAACGGAGAGTGTGATAAAGAAAGCAAAAGAATTGGGAGAGAAGAAAGCGGGCGACAGTGATTCGTATGCGCAGTTTTTGAAGAATAGGAAGCCATTGGATACGAGAATTCACGGTGGAAATGACGGTGTAACGACGGAGGGCCAAGAAAATAGCGGTGGTGGTGACAATAATGCTGGAGAAAGGGGGTGGAGTTCAGGGGAAGACATTGCCTTGCTCAATGCTCTGAAGGCGTTCCCAAAGGATGCGCCAATGAGATGGGAGAAGATTGCGGCTGCTGTGCCTGGGAAATCAAAGGCAGCTTGTATGAAGAGAGTTGCTGAGTTGAAAAGGGATTATAGGAGCTCAAAAGCTAGTAATGAAGGGACTTAAAGCCTTTTGGCATTTTGGAATTTTGATCTGAAGGTAGCATCCAGGAGGTAACTGATGTTTCCCAATTGCATTCCTGTTTTGAGAGGATTCATTTTGCTGCATGTTTTTTGATACGGAATCAAGTTCATTTATAGATTTGTAAGCTGTTCCAGGCTTATTCTGTCACAATGCAAAATATAAATTGAGGGCATGGCATACTCTGGTTCTATTTATGTCTTAGTATTCGAGTTCTTGGATGGATTTCTTGGCTGTCTGAGATTTGGCCAGTGACATTTAAGTTCATCGTTCGGGCTCGTACAATTCAATTGCAGAATTTTGCTGATATTCCTTTTCTCTATCACGGTTGATTTCTACTCATCATGCATATATGAGAAACCTATATGTTTGGATTTCGAAGCTGGAGATGACAATATTTACTTACAAAGAGAACTTTAGTGCTAAAATCACTTAATCTCAGAAAAATTTGATATTGTTTATGAACTTTTTCTCTCTGTATGTTCAATCCTTGCGCCCTTGTGAACCATTCTGCAATTGGAAAGTGGAAATTTATCATGTTTTAACCATAATTATATGTGGGTCTATTAGTATTTAAAATAGATAATTTATTTAAAAGAATATCTTTCCTTAGGCACAAAAGTCATGTCCTTAGTCACCGGTTAATATTTTCTTTAGGTGAATAACGTTATTCACATTTAAAGACTAATTTAGATATTTTATGTTTATCTATTAACATCATTTACACATTTAAAGTGAATTATATATTTTGAATACTGTTTGATTTGTGTATAATTTTAAGCAAAACTTAAAAAAGATACATATATTTTTCTTTTTAATAAATTATCAGTAAATTAAATATTAATTTTTTAAATAAATAATTTTTTCATAACTTAAAATTTAATTTATTTTTAATTTTTTAAATTTTTATATTTTGTGATTAAGCAGGATGTCAATACCAAAAAGCATCCACCCTCCTGAGAAAACGCACCGTTTTGCTTCTAATGCAATTTGCAATTCCAAAAACACTAGGGCATCCTTGTAATTTCACATAGGCGCCCAATTCCATTCCCCTTATAAAAGCCCACTCTCCATTTTCCAAAAACCCTACGATTCCTATTCCATAAAATACCCTACGATTCCCGGAAAACTCGCACAACCAACAATGGGTCTTCTCTCTTGGTTCAGAGGCAATCCGAAAACAGAAACCCAAACCATACCGAAGCCCAACGAGACGCCGCAACCCGTTCCGGGAATGCACGGAGCCGTTGTAGTGCCCCGACCTGAGAGTGTTACAGTGTTCGAGTTCGGGTCCGTAGCGGCTACTGCTGATAAGGTTACGTTAGCCGGGTTCTGTCCCGTCTCCGACGAGCTCGAGCCTTGCCGCTGGGAAATTCTGCCCGCTAGTGGATCCGACGCTCCCCAGTTTCGCGTCGTCTTTTGACACTGAAAAATCGGTTGTAAGTCGGTAAAGAAAATTGATTGTAAGAAAGTTGAACGTTTAACATAGACTTGTTGTTTAGAGATTATTCTGATTTTGGGTAATGAGAAATACATTTTTCTTTTGAATTTTGTCTTCGTTTCTTTCTTTAATTTTAATTATAAGAATTTAGAAGGCAAATTCAGAGTACAAAGATGCCCAAATTATTATGCAGCAGGAAATATAGTTTGAATTTATTCTTTAGGGAGATTTTGAATCAATAATTTTTAATGTACTGATCGAAATTGCAAGCTATGAATATTCTCTTAAATTAGAGTTTGATGCATGCGTGACATTGTTTTTGGTAGGTGTATTGAAAATTAATGATTGGAAAGTTACTGAAAGACTTTTTATGGCTCTATCTACAATTAGCAGGGTGCGCTGGTCTAGAAATGTTCATCATATAAGCACCATCTTATGCTCCAGAAATCTCATGGATTTTTGGAGAATGGCATGTGTATAAGTCTTATATGGATTTTTACGTCATTAGCTGTTCTCATCTTGCTAAGGTCTAGTTTTTCATTGTAATGTAGTTGATTTTGGTGAAGAATTATGATTGAAAATAAATTCTTTGAAAATTATATGAAAAATTATGGTTACAGGGTGTGTGCTTGGCATTCTTGTGATTAAAGTGTTACTGTGAGTTAAAATATCTAAAACAGACATAATTTTGTTTTTTGGGGAAAAAGATTGGAAAAAATTTATGGTCAAACCATACTTTTCTCACCAGAATAGTAGGTCTTGGTCTGGGTTTGTATTTGATTGCCCACTTTTTACTGTCACAAGCCAAAAGATTTTATTTGTTGAGCTTCGTTGGCATTGCGTTTGTTGTCAAAAGGAACTTTTGCAATGCAAAAAAATTTGTTTGGTCGCAAACACAATGTTGAATGGAGCTTAACAAGAAAAGGATTTTTGGTCACAAATGCTGAAGGTCTAGTTTTTCATTGATAATGTAGTTGATTTTGGTAAAGAATTATGATTGAAAATTGTATGAAAAATTATGGTTACAGGGTGTGTGCTTGGCATTCTTGTGATTAAAGTGTTACTGTGAGTTAAAATTTTTAAAACAGTTGGGAAAAAGAATGGAAATAATTTATGGTCAAACCACACTTTTCTCGCCAGAATAGTAGGTCTTGGTCTGGGTTTGTATTTGATTACCTACTGTTAACTGTCATAAGCCAAAAGATTTCATTTGTTGAGCTTCGATGGCATTGTGTTTGTTGTTAAAAAGAACTTTTACAATGCAAAAAAATTCTTCTGGTCACAAACACAATGTCGAATGGAGCTCAACAAGAAAAGGATTTTTGGTCGTAACTGCTGAAGGTCAACTTAAGGAAAGCAAAAACCAGGGTGATAATTATTTTTCTGCTAAATATGTATGGCTATGTTCATAATAGTCACTTTCTTCTTGAGTAATTGGCTTTACAGGCAGGCAATTTCCATGTTGCTTGATTGAACTAAGTTTACTGAATATGTTCCACGGTACCCTGGCTTTTTCAGAATCAGTTTGTTCAAACTCATTATTTTCTTGATCCAACAATGTGTTATGTTCGTTGCGATTGAGGTCTTGCAGGAGTTTTTCTTCAATTTTTCTTACAAAAATGAAAACACTACCGAGTAAATATGGAAAATTTTCTGCAGAGTGCTTGGGGCCCAATCTTTTGTACTCTTTGATTGTCATCTCTATATAAAAACTAAATGATGAGGAAATGGTATAGCTGTAGGCTTGTGGTAGCTGGCTATGACAAAACGTACATGGCACTTGAGCCTGGTAAATGCTCTAGAAAGATGACTTTTTATCAGTGATCAAAACAATTCTGGTGATTCAAAGTAGGTTTTATCAAGAAAACAAGCATACCGGTAGAGACTTCTCTCACCCCATCATTGTCTAATTCTAAAGCAAGATCTCTTATGAAAGAGGTTTTTCATTTTCAATGCAACAATTGTTCATAACCAATAGTGGCACATTGGCACTCATTACTCGGACCCAAAAAAAGAATAAATCACCCAATCACTCTACAAGAACAAACATGGAATTATGGAAATAAGGCTCATCAAAACAGGGAAAGACATTGCCTCGTTTGAACTAACTTTTACAGTATTTGACATGATTGCAGATAAGTCATCTTTCAGAGGAAACTGTAGTCGTCATTATCATCCATTCGGATATAACACATAATGGCTAGTATGAATATAAAATAAGATGAGAGTTCCATTGCCAGTGCGCCCCAACCGATAACACCAGCATGCTTTAGGATAGCTGGTATTGCAATGCTTCCAACTGCAGAAGCTCCAGTCAAGAACTTTGTTGCATTGACCCAACTGTTACATTGTTCATTGGGAAGACAAATAATGAGTATTCTAATTGTGCAAGCTGTAAAAGAGGATCAAATCTTATTTATGAATAATTTTAGGGCCAAAATTAATTACCTATTGTCAGATTCAGATAAAAGAGAAGAACCATCAGAGCCCGCAAAGAACAGCAAAGGCATTGGAAGAAGCACATACATTATTACTGCAACAGCAATGAAGCATGTCAGCATGCTGAATCAGTATAAGATTCTTACTTAATTGCACAAAAAAAGTGACAGGAAAATCTCAGGCCCTCCCTGCTTACACACACTTTCACACAAAGTCACAAACTTCACACTCACTCATAAACATTGCCTACAATGTGCAATCAAGCAGCAACCCAGCAAACTCGTTAGTACCAAATATCACAGCAAAGTCACACAACAATGAAAGGAAATTAACCCAAAGAATTGTGGAAATGACACATTTCTGCATGCATGATGCATGTCCCTAGATGGTAAAATCAGTTGAATCTTAAGAAACATAGTTTTGTAGATTCAAGAGCAATTGTCTTCTTGACATGCTTCTAAATCACAGGACTAACGAGCTGATTTATGAGCATCAACCTTTGAGGTAGATATAAAGGGACACATAACATTAACAACTGAATCAGTGATAGGCTGCCTTGGATAAGTTACATACTGAAAATTTAAATTTACATTTGGAAAAAACTAACATATTCATTTGAGAATACGTAACTCAATTACAAGAAACAGCTAACTAACATCACAAACTTCACATTCACTTACTAGTTAGCATTGGCCACCAATTATTGTACAAAGCGCATGCCTGAGACACCACCATCCACAAGGAATCAGAATGACAAAAACATTTAGAGCCACAACCAAAGGTAATTAATTAACAGAGAAATGCACTACTAACCAAGATTTGCAATACAATCCCTCCCGAAACTAAAATTGCCAGAAGTGCAAGTTTTCCAGTATGCAAGCAGTTGCGCAAATAACCTGGTAAGTCTGCCATCATCCAACTTGTCTCACCTCATAGAAAACACCTGAAATGGATGTATTCTCAATTCCCCTCCCGAGACCTGATAACAATAAGTTGGACAATTCTCATCTGTCACTAGAAAAGTCGTAACCCACCAACATACAAAAAGCATCGCAATCAAATTTTTATATGCACTTTACATCTATTACTCTAACAATTTTCTCGTAACCAAAAGAAAGAAATGAAAAACCAATCAGAAAACTAAAAGATTTAGTTTAGAGCCTAACTGAAATTGATTCTGGGGTTTCCCGGTACAACCTCCAAAATTTACCCACGATTATAATTGTATATATCAGTGTAAGACTTTTCCTTTCTTAATGCTTCAGAGCTTAAAGAAGAGAATTTTCTCATTTTTTTTTTGATGTAGATCTTACGTTAATATCTGTTCAAGTCCCATCGTTTACAAGCGAAAGATTCCTTTCGTAAAAATTCTTTAAAACCCAAGAAACACAAGAAATAAGAAAAAGAATTTAACATACCCAAATGCTGAATTGTACTATAGACCCAAGAAAATTCAACCTTGTCTAAAAATAAATTCATTTCTGTAAGAGAGCAATTGAGTTGAATTCCAGGTATTCCATTGACGCAAATATAACGAATAAAGAAGTGAAAAAAAGAAAAAGAATTTTGGATTGAATACTTTACCAGGAGAGGTTGATCTGGGAACAGAGTGTTGATGAAAATTTGGGGAAATTAGGGTTTTGATTGAATTGGGTTCTGTAGTGTACCCATTAAAGGAATCAACCAGAAAATTTGGGTGTTTGTCCGGGCGCAGCTTCAAAACAGAGTAAGCAGTTGTGTGTTAATTACAGTCATATTAAAGAATATTTTACAAAAAAAGGTGTCCCAATAATAAAGTAATGAAAACTCAATGGGAGATGCCTTTATTTGCTCAACAGAGAAAATACTGCTACAGTACTCGTCTATTAAGAAAATAGTGAAAGCTAATTTCAAGAAATAAACGAAGAAGAGATAAAATTAAAATGTTGGCACATGCAAGGAACTTTTCTTTGGTATTACATCAGAACCAATTTATAAGTTGCTTTTTGCTAGTAGCTTTGGAGGTGGGTTAGCCATGTGATAACAGCCTGTGGTAGCTCAATGCTCAATATTCAAATGGAATAAGCTTGAAATTCAGATGGAAACATCAGATGCAGTAGGTCAAGTAGTGAGTTTACCAACTGGTAAATGTAAAGGAAACAGTCTGGGGTTGGAAACTTGGAATGGATGGGAATGGAAAAAGACTCAAAAGTTTAAAAATAGAAAAGAAGTGTCCAAAAATGTCTCTTTCACATGGATGGGGGCATCACTTTGGTTTTTGTGGGGAGTGCTAGAGGCAGTCGCCCCAATTCACACCATCTCCGACTGAAAAACTGAGACTGAGACCGGCAACTTCTACTAACAGGTTGCCGGTTTCTCAAGCTCTTCATTTTGTTAATGTCAAATTTACTTATCACTCGTGCTTTTACCGCTACCTTTGGAGAAGTTATTTCTATAATATTTTCCTTTTTTTGGCCAGAATAGGGAAAGAAAAATCAAATAAAGGAATCGCGAGCCTTCTCTCCTTCTCTTTTTCCTTCCTCTTCACTTTTCCCTCTCTAATTCTTCGAAAGAAATTTAACATTTTTCTTGTCGATCAAGCCTCAACATGTCTTCATCAACGCCAACGCCCAAGAAGCGTCCAAAACCGAAGCCCAATTCTCCTTCTAAATCATCAACTTCAAAATCTTCACTAAACTCGATATTAGAGCCGCCCCGGAGTTTATTCCCTTCGAAAGGAGAGTTTTTGCGGCTCATAGCGGCACTCGCAATCGCTTCCTCAGTTGCTCTCTCCTGTAACTTCTTCGCCACTTTCTTCACCTCCACCTCTAAGTCCTTCTGCGATAGCAACTTAGACTCCATCGATTCTCTCTCTGGTCAATTCTTTTACCCCTCTTCTTATTTTTTATGAGCGTTTCTTCGTTTTTGTTAAACTTTGCTTTCTGGGTGTCCTTTTATATGAATTTTAATTCATTTTGTGTATTAATTCTGGCTCTCTTGGTATCTTTTTATATGGGCTTTAATCGGGTTTGTTGGCTATATGAATTTGTGGGTAACTTTATATTTCAAGTGCCCCATGTTAGTGTTCTTTGCTCATTATGGTTATTCCATATTTCTTTCTAACCGTGACTATCAATTTTCTTCTGCCTTCCTTTATCGAGTATGTAATTAAATTTTTAAAGTATATTTTGGTGAACAAATATTTTATCTTTTTCATGATGTAGTCTAATCCTAGTTTCATATAGTCTGCTTAGAAATTATAGATTCCAATAATGTTCTGAAAAATGTGCATTACTACAGATTCTTGTGAGCCTTGTCCAAGTAATGGGGAATGTTATGAAGGCAAGTTGGAATGCATTCATGGCTATAGAAGACATGGAAAGCTGTGTGTAGAAGATCGAGATATCAATGAAACAGCTAAGAAATTTGTGTGTTCTTAGACTTTTGCTTATTCTGGTATATGAGATTCTAAGCACCGCAAATGCAATTTTTACCTTGGAATATTTATGTAACTTTTCTGATTATCATTTGTATTTTGTAGTCCAAGTGGATAGAAGTTCGCCTCTGTGAAGCTTACGCTCAAAGTTTGTGCTATGGGACTGGGACAGTTTGGGTACCCCTTGATTTTTCCATTTTGTTTAATATTAAATGCATATGCCAGTAGATTAAGTATCCCAGAGTTTATAACTTGCTGAAGCTGTTGTTCTAAATATGTACCCGTTTCAGGCTCGAGAACATGATATTTGGAATGATTTAGATGGACATGAGCTGATGCAAAATTTTGGCCCAGACAATGCCACATACTTGTCTGCGAAACAAAGGGTTATGGAGATGATAGTTAAATTATTGGAGACAAGAATAAATACCCATGGGTATGCTTATTATCATCTATTTAAAGTTTCAACACTTGGAAGCATTTAAATCACATTTCTCTTGTTTTTATACAGGATACAGGAGGTCAAGTGTCCAGATTCTCTGGCAGAATATTTCAAACCCTTTACCTGTCGTATCCGTCAATTGATCTCCAATCATGCTCTTATTATTGTGCCTGTTTGTGCAGGGGTAGTCCCTTCTAAAAGCCATCCTCTGAATGCTTTAGTTAAAAGTATCAATATTTTGACCGTTGTAACAATATTTAGTTTAACAGCTTTTAGGATTTGCAATGCTGTTTTGGAAAGTCCATCAGAAACGCTGTCTTTCAGCTAGAATAGAAGAGCTTTACCATCAGGTGTGCAAGTTTTTCCATGTACAGTTATGGTTAATTAATGGTTTATTTTCCTTACCTTCTGCATGTCAAGCTCTTTTGGAGGTCGTCTTTTGCGTTTTAGTTTAACGCCTAAAATTCTCAGCATTATTTTACCCAGCGGTTGTGAACAGTCTGCTGAGATAGATTCCAAATAGATGTGGGCTTAAACTAAGTGATGTTTTTTAATATATATAAAAATGACCACCTTATAATGAGTAGAACTGGGGATATAGAAGCAGGGGATGGATAAAGAAAAAAGAAAAGGATAGCATAGCAAAATGTGAGATAGGTTGTTATCAAAATACATGAAGCATTCTGTAAATGTTCTTGCTGTAAAATTGCAGACTTTAGAATAACCATTTTTTATCCCTCATTGTTATGCTCAAGAAATGATTGCTTAAAAAAATTTCATGCTTTCATTATGTTTAACTTGATCCCCACATCTAAAGTGATTATATCAAATTATAAAGCAATTTGAACATCATTAAGAAATTGATAATCGAATTGTTTCAATTGTTAGGTCTGTGACATACTTGAGGAGAAAACCTTGAGGTCAAAGAGCGTCAATGGTGGAGGTGAATCATGGGTTGTTGCCTCATGGTTGCGGGATCATCTTCTTTTTCCTAGGGAAAGAAAGGATCCTCAATTATGGAAAAAGGTATTTTCACTTGCTTGTGTTCATTAGTCAAATTATCTGTACCTAATCATGGATTTATTTTTTCTTTTCTTTTTTCTTTCCTAATGTGTTAGAACTAATCCCTGATGCAATTTTATGTTAATACATTGAAGTGCCAATTAATTGTAATCAACTAGGCTATAAGATTTTAAAACTTGATTCAATCTTCAACTTATTTTCAGGTTGAGGAGTTGGTACAGGAAGATTCTCGAGTAGATCGCTACCCCAAGCTTATTAAGGGTGAATCAAAAGTCGTGTGGGAATGGCAAGGTTCAAAATCTATATTTGTGTGTTTTACTTTTTCAATTAAGATGCTTACAGTTTTCCAAAACTCTTTCATGTTGTTGTTGTATGTTGAGTATTAGTCAAAGGAGCTTCTTCAGAACCATAACACATCGTTAGGGTAGCATCTTTGGAGTGACTCTTTCAATCTTGATTTGTTCATTTTAATTTCTTTGTAGTTGAAGGTTCTTTGAGCTCTTCCAGGATGAGAAAAAAGGGGGAGGGAGTCACATCGAAACCAGATGGAGGCATCAACACAAACTCAAATCAATCAGACCACAAAGTGAAGGCTGCTGTGCTTCAGGACACTTTATCTGTGCATTAAAGTTTTTTTTTCCTCTTCTGATGTCGGCTTCAGTGTTCTCTTTTAATTTGGTTTCATATTTGTCTGATATGCACAAACCATAATGTTCATGCAGAACCTAAAGCACTGATGCTTTAACATTGCCACATGGGGATGTATTGAGAATGGTCAGAACAGCCTCTTTTCAACCTCTATGTCCTCTAAGCAGTAGCAGAAGACTTTCATTCATTATAGCTTTTATTTAAGGGTTTTTGCCGGATTAATCAAGGTGTTAAGAGATTGATGAACAAAGTGAAAGTTTCCACCATTTGACAGTGGAGCTAGTCTTTGGAGATTGTTTTTGGAGGTTAAAATACATCCCCTTGTACACGCCCCACCAGGTTCCTGTAAACCATTGAACGTCATACAGCACAGCTTATTCCTCTTCTGTTGCATTAGGAAATCGGCATCCCAATTGGGGATTTTGGTGTTTCAAGAATTTGGACTTATGGTATAAACAATGTAATCTATATTGCTTCCCTTCATGCTTGTGTTTTAAACTCTCAAAGTAGGTGAAAATACCACAAAAATTCTTCTGTTTTGATGCGAAACTATCACTCTCACAGTTTCACTGGAAAGATAATCAGTCTATGGTTAGAGCTTGTACTATTCAAATTTCTGATGCCAATGGAGCTCATGCTGATGGGATGAACAACCAATTTCATCTAACTGCTCCTATGTCATAACTTTGGAGACAGATTCAAGAGAAAATGGTAACCCATGCCCCTGCACCTTCGTGCACACACTTTTGTTTCCGTTTTCTAATCCTTGTCAGCTGTCATACTGATTAGTGGGTCCAAATTTCCCAATAATTTTAGTGTAAGAAAAATCTGGGGATAACGCTTATGTGTCTATTCAATCTTAAGTCTCAAATTCTCAAGTATAGATCACAAATTCTGTCCTTGTGCGTAGATCTAGTACTAGTACGCATGATACAATGACGTTTCAATTAAACAATAGCAACTCAACTATATTCAATGGAGATATTGATGATTCTTTATTCGTTTCAAACATTATCAAAGTTCTTCAACACGGTAGTGTCGGCAAGGGTGCAGATGTGACTTCACAAATTAGGTGAAATACACTTTCAACAAAATATGGTCCTAACCCCAAATTATTGCTGCATTTTGAATTGTGTTTTCTTTTCCTGAATTTCCTTATGCAATTACATTATGTGGCCTCTTCCATCGACTTTTCCATAGTATTAGAAAAATAAATCTAACTATATATAGTATCAATGGATGACATAATCGCAAGGCAGAAGCAAATCTAGGAGAAGTCAAGTAGCATTGTTTTAGTTGTTTACCCATTTTCCTGCTTTGGACATTGATTGGATTAAAACAGAACAGTGCGTCCCCGACCTCGATTACTCCTGTGTAAACTCAAACGAGATAAAAACAAGTGAATATGCCATTTTAACCGACTTTTGTGTGCGTATAAGAGAGATAAAAGACACACCCTTTACTGTAAATCCAACGTCTTTCAAGTCTCTACCATTCTCTCACCGAAACACTCTCCACTCATTTGCTCTCTGGAGATCCAGAGAGAGATATTCAAGCAAAAGGGCTCTGCTTAGAGCACTTTCTTTCTTTCTTTTTTTCTGGGTATTTTTCTTTGATCCCATGTTCTATCTTTCTCCATTTTTGTGCTTTAAAGTTCGTAGCTTTTTATGCTACTATTTTTGCTTGAACTTTTGCTTTATTTTTGCTTATATTGTTTGCTCTCTTGAGATCCATGCATGTTGTTTTCTTTTTATTTGATGGATTCAAGATGTGAGATTTCTACTTCAGTTAATGGATCTCACTTTTTCAGTTTGTTTTCTGTGTTTTGAGATGTAAAATAAGGTGGATATGTTTAGACCCATTTGATAAAAACGCCAGCTTTTTAGTTGATTTCTTAGGTTTACTTTATAGAAAATTTATAAAGAACTGAACTCTTTTCGTAATGCTCTTGAGGCTGTAAAACTTGATTGATCCCAAGTAGAGAAGTAAGTGCAGAAGAACTCTGAGCTTGTTGGGAGTGAAGTGGATTATTTTGAAATGTTATTACCTGCAAAGGTGGAATTATTATTTACTTTATTTATTTCTTAGGTTACTATATCTGCTTTTAAAATTTGGTATTTTGCTGACAATAAAATTGATCTAAATCCTTAGGATTTTGAAATTCTTTTTATATCCTGTTAACTTTACATTTGGCGCCTTAGTGAATTTTTTGGTTGCTATTAGTTGAAGCAAGTGTAGTGTACACAATTGGAACATTATGAATAGTTTCTCTTAACGTTTTGGTATTTATCTCTTACTTTACCATTATGTATCCATGGAAATTCATTATGTTCTAACTTACTTCTCCTCACAGTGTGCTTTGGGGAATTTGTCACCCTCTAATCATGGCATCCAAGCACAATCCATCAGGCAACAGAACACGAAGCCCACTATCTATATTTGCTGTGATTGGTTTATGCTGTTTCTTTTACATTCTGGGAGCATGGCAGAGAAGTGGTTTTGGCAAAGGAGATAGTATAGCATTGGCAGTAACCAAGCAGACAGACTGCAGTATCTTCACCAATTTAAACTTTGAAACTCATCACAATGATGTAGAGATTGTTGAGCATTCCAAACCAAAAGCTGTGGTGTTTAAGCCATGTGATTTAAAATACACTGATTACACCCCTTGCCAAGAGCAAGACCGTGCCATGAAGTTTCCTAGGGATAACATGATTTACAGGGAAAGGCACTGTCCTGCTGAAGAAGAAAAATTACATTGTCTCATTCCAGCTCCCAAAGGGTATATGACACCATTTGAATGGCCAAAGAGTCGTGACTATGTCCATTATTCTAATGTTCCTCACAAAAGCCTGACAGTTGAGAAGGCTGTCCAGAACTGGGTACAGTTCAAAGGAAATGTGTTCAAATTTCCAGGTGGAGGAACTATGTTTCCTCAAGGTGCAGATGCTTATATTGATGAGCTTGCATCAGTCATCCCAATAGCAGATGGTTCTGTCAGAACAGCATTGGACACCGGTTGTGGAGTATGTTGATTTTTCGAGAATATGTTATCCCTCTTTAGTTGAGAATTTATGATGCTGTTATGCATTTGCTTTCTTTTGGGGCCAGGGGTGTTTAGTAATTTACAATGCAGTTTACTTCTTAGCTATTCCCTTCACATTTTATTCTTCTGCAAACTGTGAGCTTATGAATTATTTGAGTGTCTGACTTCCCTAAAATAATGTATATAGGCATGGTTTTTTAGTCTTAGAATATACCATAGTGAAGTGCGGAATATTTAATCAACTGCGTATTTTTTTTTGTTGCATATACAAACATGCTATATGTCTAAGTCTGTAGGATTAAGCTAGTCCACACTTGATAAAGCATCCCCATAACTACTATGTCTAATAGGAACTGATTGTATTGGTTAATAGATATATTAAGGAGCTTATATACTGAGAATTGAGATTACATAACTTTGTGCTCATGAATATTCTTTTCTCCTTCATCATTTATTTACATTTAGTCATCACATATACTCTTTTGTTCTTGGATCTCTATCTTACTGACCACAGTCTGTCTATCTCTCCATCATATTAGAGGTCGAACGATTTCCATAATGTTCTTGTTGCCAACAATCATCATCAAAGCACCAGTTTGGCATTTTATTCAGCAGGATTACCTGCACTAATAGAAACAATCATAATGTAGGTCGCAAGTTGGGGCGCATACATGATGAAGAGAAATGTTCTGGCTATGTCTTTTGCACCTCGGGACAATCATGAAGCACAGGTACAGTTTGCACTGGAGCGAGGTGTACCTGCTGTTGTTGGTGTTCTTGGATCTATAAACCTTCCATATCCCTCCAGAGCATTTGATATGGCTCAGTGTTCTCGATGCCTAATACCATGGACTGCAAATGGTAATTGGTAATAATGAACATGTTAGCTGTGAAATCATGTAGTACTTTTGTTTTCTTTTTCACCATGCTTTTCTGGTATATTGTTCAGTAATTAAGTATGGTTAGAAGTTGGAACTAAACAATAAGAAGCCAACAATGAATTTTAAAACTACCAGGAAATTGATGATGCTTCTACACGTCTACCTGTTTACTCAGATGGGATGTACTTAATGGAAGTTGATAGAGTCCTGAGGCCTGGTGGATACTGGGTCTTGTCTGGCCCTCCAATTAATTGGAAGACCTACTACAAAACGTGGAAGCGATCTAAGGAAGATCTCAAGGCTGAGCAAAGAAAGATTGAAGAGCTAGCTGAACTTCTTTGCTGGGAGAAAAAATATGAGAAGGGAGATATTGCTATTTTCCAAAAAAAAGTAAATGACAAATCCTGCCGCCGGAAGTCTGCCAATATATGTGAATCAAGGGATGCCGATGATGTTTGGTGAGTTTTCTTGTGATTTGCATTTTCTCTCTTAAGATTGATTCACTAGTCGGTAAGAGCTTTGCTATTTCATCATTGATTTCAATTATCATATATTTATTAGTAAAATAGTATTTGGTTTAAGAGTGTTGTGGGTGCATATCAAGCACAGCGAAATCGTTGTATTCTATGTGTCATTTCCACTTCTGACTCTTCTATATGTAAAGTTGTTATTTTCTTTTTGTATTATCACCGTAATTCTTTCTTCTTTGGCGCGTTTTAGGTACAAGAAAATGGAAACGTGCATAACCCCTTTCCCTAAGGTAAGTAGTTCAAGTGAAGTGGCAGGAGGGGAGTTGAAGAAGTACCCAGCTAGGCTTTTTGGCGTCCCTCCTCGGATAGCCAAAGGACTTGTTGATGGGGTCTCAGCTGAATCTTACCAGGAGGACAATAAGCTCTGGAAGAAGCATGTAAATGCTTACAAAAGAATAAATAAATTGATTGGTACTGCAAGATACCGAAACGTGATGGACATGAATGCAGGTCTTGGAGGATTTGCAGCATCACTTGAATCACCAAAGTCTTGGGTGATGAATGTTGTGCCCACAATTGCTAAGAACACCTTAGGGATTATCTATGAGAGAGGTCTAATTGGAATATACCATGACTGGTATGTCTCAATCTTTGTTCTCTATTGTCTCTGTGATTAATTTAACTAGTTCCATATTGAGTTCCTTTTTTTCTTTTTCATCCTCAAAATTATACTGTTAATTATCATAGGGAAATAGAGTGAGGAGGTTTACAAAAGAGTTTATTTGTTCTTGTGGTGTAGAAACAGTGGAAAGTAGAGTACCTGATTATAAGTCCTCTGTTCAGAAGTCATGATGTACTGATGCGTAGGGAAAATACATTTTATAGACTTGTTTTTGTAGTTACTGGTGTATCAACTTTCTGCATAACTCATTAACCACCAGCACCATCATGATATTGGACATGTGACCTATATTAGTTAAATAAATTACTATAGATTTCAACTAAATGCACATTACTTAAGGCCTTTGGCACACTGACACTTACCAGAGAAAGAGAAGCTCGAAGTAGCTTAGCTAAAGGCCGTCTCAAATACTTTGCAATTGCAGAGCTAGTGACAATTTGAGGGCATTGAAATCATTAGTCATATCTTATTTTTTAGTGACTCCTCTTTTTATGGAATATAACTCATAAAAACTTCATAAATGAACCACCGCAAACTCCATTGGTGACATTTTCATTTCTTATTTGTTACAGGTGCGAAGGTTTCTCTACATATCCAAGAACATATGACTTTATTCATGCCAATGGTGTCTTTAGCTTGTATCAAAACAAGTAAGTCTCTTTTTCACCTTTTTCCAATGTGCCATGTTTTATGTGTGATTTCCTTTTCATCTTTTTCCAAAAGTGCTTAATTCAGCATACAATTCAATATGCTTTCAGTGAACCATAGCTCACCACATCTTTAAAACCTTTTAAAATCAAAATTAATAAATGTTGGTTTGACGAGGTGAAGAGTTATGGTTCACTGATAGTGTGGTGAATATAAAGTAATTAAACATTAAATGCCAACTTTGACTGCCATCATATGGCTGAAAGTTTATTTTGGAATAACTCTTAGACTCCGTATTGACAAGAGTTTTTGTTTCTCAAAACAAAAATTAGATATTCGTAGCTTTGCAATGCAAAAAATGCTGACTGCATTATTCAATTTTCTTAATTAACTTACTGCTCAATGAACGGATTCTTGTTTGGACCACTTCATTGAAGACCGGGTGAAAGTGTTTCATTACCTATAAATTTATGATCAATTGCAGGTGTAACTTTGAATACATCCTTCTGGAAATGGATCGCATTTTGCGACCTGAAGGGGCTGTTATCTTCCGGGATGATGTTGATGTTCTAAACAAGGTCCGGAGAATTGCTGGAGGCATGAGATGGAACACCAAGATGATGGATCATGAGGATGGCCCCCTTGTGCCAGAGAAGATGCTAGTTGCAGTTAAACAATACTGGGTTGGTAGCAGTGGAAACAGCACCTCCAATGATCAATAAACCATGTCAACAGGTCATCTGTTTGGAGGTAAAAAATCAAGGCAAGGTTAAGATGCCAACTGGTGATTAAATTGCTCGAGGCTGAGGGACTGAAGAGTTCCAATCCGCAATCCTCAAAGAGAGGCATAAGTTCTTACATTTTGTTATTTGTGATGTAGAGAATATACACACACGATTATGGTAGTCAGTGTTTTTGGATGTGATTCTGGAAGGAAAGTGTAACGTTTATTTGTGTAGCTTCCCAAATAATTAAGCCTAGATTACAGGAATGCATAGTGATGACAATCAAAAAATGACATGCATGATCGTCATTATGCATCTCAAAATTGACCACATTGCTATTTACCTTTTTCATTCCTCTTACTTGACTTTCTTTATCTTGATCTGTCATCTTGCCATGTTCATATTTCATGCTTCAAGGCACTCTAGAACTGCAAGGAAGGTTATGGGTTAAACCAAAATTGTCCAAAAGCAGAATAATGTCATTGAAACAATTTATGCTGCTTGCAAAAGCAGAGTATGAACCTTACCCGGCTGCCTCCGGTAAACTGAACCATCAGCATCCCACTTTACCTAATAATTGATTAGCGATGACCAGGTTCGTCCTGGACATCGCGGCCAAACCATCACCTCTCGGTGGCGGACCACCAGAATAAATGGACAATCAAGTTAGCACAATCTATCTTTTGATCGGGTGTGAGTTGGTGAATGGGGAATCACTTTTAACTGTCTGGTGCCGTTGCTCAATTGCTTTGGTAGGCCCACTTCATGCCCGGGCTGTTCTCTCCATTTACACCCACGCAGTGCTGTCAAGGAACCCTGCCCAACGCACCCAAAGAAGTCTGTTTCACAGATGTATCATCAACTCAAGACATCACATGATTTTTAACTGATCTCAACAACTTGATTTTGACCATCCCTCCGCTCAAAATGTACGTTGAATACCAAAGTTTCCTGCTCATAATGCATTTGATTCATGTATCTTACACTAAACAAGTTTCACAGTAAAAACCCATCAATATTTCAGAAAGAGATTTAAACAAGTAACTTTTTGCAAAAAATATTTTGCTACCAATTAGAACAAGGTATAAGCAAAAGGGATAGAGAGAGGGGGTTAGAGTTTTAAACAAGCTTTACCAGATCAGTTTTGTTGTGTCCTTTCATCAAGGAAAAGTATCCTCAACAACAACTATCGTGTCAAACAAAAATTGTCCACTTTCTTCGAAACCACCCACATCATTGTTTTACATGAATTCCACCTTGACATATGGACCAATTCTGTGGTCTTGATTACAATGTAGCCATGACCATCCCCTCCAAAATTTGTTGCTCTTTGCCTAGTAGCTTCAGATAGCCTCGCCAGTGTCCCAATGACCCTTGGCAACAGAGAAATGACCCTTCTTGTGGTGAATAAGTAGGCAAAAGGATTTGGATGATTGATAGTCCAATTGCACCCCCTACACCCTGTCACCCCTACATTTGTTATGTACTTTGCAGACCATGAACCGGCACCTACAAGCACAGCAAATTTTACCAATTTAATGTTGGATGCCAGCTATCATTACATTAGTTTAGCTGATACCTCAACAGGCTCAAGTTTTAGATAACTCAGATTCAGAATAATTTTAATCTTGGGTTACAATATTCATCAACGGGATGAACGATGTAAGTTAAATTTCGCAATCTTCCTCCCTGGAAAATCCCCATAACAGTTTAACTGAGCAAAGAAGAAATTTTAGCATGAACCTTGCTCCCTCCTACTACATTCACCTTTAAACCTAGCCTTACTATTTCATTCCTATAATGGCAAACCGAATTAGCCACTGCGGCCTAGGGATAGGTACGGTCCTTACCCATTATGTCAAGGTTTCACCTAGCTTTGGTACTACATCTTACGTATAGTAGTTGAAAGAATATTAATTAAGTAATCAAAATGAGCCAAAATCTTTAAATGGAAGGCCTCTATAGAGCAATCTTGTATTTCTAATAAAGCAATTCAGATGCTGCACGTGTATAAATATTTTTAAAATAAAACCAATTATAAAATTTTGACGTATTGCCAAATAAAATCGGATAACTACAATATACGTAAGGTATAATTTTTTTAAAAAAATTTAAATTATTAAAAAATTTAAATAAATTTTTATTTTTTATTATATTTAATTAAATTTTTATATTTTTATTTTAAGTCAAATAAGTTCTTATACTTTTATTTTAAATTAAATTAATTTTTTTAATTAATGATTGATTTAATTAAAATATCACTTGTCATTCTATTATTATGTAATATATTAAAATGTCATAATTGATTATATGATATATTAACATATTATAATTGATGATTACGTAATATACTAATATAATATGATGACATAAACATGTGGTATTTTTCAATTTTCATACTAACATTATATCAATGTCATATATATATATAATAATAAATAATATTTTAATTAATAAAAATTAATCAATCATTATTTATATAAATTTATTTGACTCAAATAAAAATATAAAACTTAATTAAATGTAATAAAAAATAAGAATTCATTTGAAATTTTTTAACTACTTCAAGAACTTTTTCAAACATTATGTCTACAAGTAATTATTCAAATATGTTTTATTTTAAAAAATTTGGATTCAAAATTTCAAATTCTCTTCCTATACATAATTATAATTTACATTTTTTTTATCTAGAGAAATTAAGAAAAAAAAAACTAGAAAAAGTAATTTGATTCATATCACTGAGCACGTAATTTGGTACCAACATTGATAAGAAAGCAATTCAACTTGCAGAATAAAGATAAGGAAGAGAAAATAGACGACGCATCTAATAATGTCACATTGCATCCACCAAATAACAAATTCCAATAAGAAAAGACAAAAATAAACATAGCATGTGTAACAATTAGAGAAGTTTCATTTTTGTGGCTCTGAAGCAAAGTGGGAGGAGGGAGGAGGGTCTAACAAAACAGTGAAGATCGGTGTGCCTCATATGATGAAAAAGGCAGGTGAAGCTCCATTATTAACAAAGGCAAATAGTACTAATATTTGGATTTTTTCTAAAGGTTAAGTTTTGAACTTAAGGCATTTGACCAGAGAAACTGCTAAAATTTGTAAATGATTGAGCCCCATTTTTGAAGCTGTTGAAACAATTATGAGAATGAGGGAGAGAGGGGACAAAGATCTAACCATTTGATCCTGTGGGGTTTTCCACTAGCACTATCTCAGCATAAAATGGCAGAAGAAGAAAAGATAAGGGTGAGTTTTGCTTCTTTCATCTATCACTATTGTGTCTCCAAAATTGATGGGTGATTGGAAATTTTGTTCATTTTAATTTGGACATATTATATGTAGACATTTCCCATCAAGAAAATTGTTGAGAAATTGAATTGTTTTGATTACATATTTGATAACATGTTGACAAGTAGAACTCTCTGTTTATATGTTTTATCTTGGACTGTATCAATTAGAAAATAATTCATTCTTAATTTTCCATAAAAAAAGAATGGGTAATTTGTTTCTATTTATATGTGAATTTTCTTAATGTTAATAATGAGGCTGACGTTGTGGTACTTGTTATAACATTAACCATAACTAATAAACAATTCAAACTTAATTGCATGGACAGAGAAATGCAGAACCAATAATGGCAAATAAGTATTTATATCTCTCCTTTTATTATTTTAAATTGGGAAAGCATTCAAAGCTGGGGTGATGCTTTAACCAGATGGAGGGCTGGTTAAGGACAAGTCGAAGCAGCACAAAGCGAAAGTTTGCTTCTACTTGCTATGGAAAGAGAATGGGATTTATGTGAAGTCTATGTTGGAACAGTTGTGCCTGGGATTTCATCCATGCTTATGGATAGGCTTTGAAGACTTTGAAAAAGAATTGTCATGGTGCTGAAAACGTGAGCCATTTAATTCAGTATACGAGATCTTGACTTTCAAGAAAATAAATATGATGTGGTCCAGTAAAGAGAACTTTAATCGAAATTTTGTAATAACTGTGTACCTAACAGTACACTTAATTTTTTTTCTGTGAAGAAAATTACATATATGTTCAAAAAAGAAAAACAACATAAAACTTATACAAGTAATTTTACACAAGATAAGGAGTCGAATTAATAACCATTAAATGCGTTGAGAAATAAAGGATTGAGGTGGTCCAAATTAGTATCAGCTAACTCCAGTTTGCCTAGACCTAATTAATCTCTAGGAATTTTGAGGGTAAATTGGCCTTTGCTTTAATTAGCCTTGTCTACCTGCTAGATCCACATCTTTCCTATCATGCAAATGGAATGACTTCCAACTCAACATGTATTTGCTAGAAGGAGTCTTTTCTAACCAGTAACCGACACTGACTTCCTCACTGTTCATTAGGATTAGGTTAACGTGTTCTCCATACCATTATCGAAAGTTGCATACATTTTGAGTAATCTTTTGAAATGTGGGATGCATGAAAAGAGTATGTAAATCATTTTTGTAATCTTTCAATTTGGCCCAAGGTGCATGCATCGGAGGAGATAATCCTCTATCTTTACCCTAATTTTATTATCTTTTTTTGAAAGATTTTTCTCCATTTTGATAAAAAAAAAAAAGAAATTGAGATCGACACTTCATGATAATTTTTTTGCAAAATGTTGGGTTCATTCTTTTTATAATTTTTTTTCTAATTATATTTTGAGAAATTTTGCATTACCGTTACCAGATGCAAGATCTTAAAATCATAATAAAATTTGTAAAAACGAAGATAACAAATATATTGTAACGCAATAAATAGAAAAATATACTAATAAATAAAATGTCAAATCAAGAGTATTGATATTTTTTTTTGTAATATTTTAAAAGTCATTAAATTATTTATAAAAATTTAAATAAGTATTTATTATGATTAATAGTTGACTTTATTAAAATATCATTTATTATTTCATAAGACATAACAGTTGATGTGATATATGGATATATTATTAATAAATAATGATATGATATGATGACATGATCATATAATATTTTTTATTTTTTACGTAAATATAAAATAATAAATTATATTTTAATTAATAATTAATTAATTAATTATTACTCATTAAAACTTATTTAATTAAAAATAAAAATATCCAAATTTAATTAAATTCAATAAAAGAGTAAAGATTTATTTGAATTTTTTAAAATAATTTAAAAACTTTTTAAAGTATTATGTTGGTTTTTTTTTATCTTTTTAAAGTAAAATAGCACATATTCCCCTAATAATAAGTTATCTATGACATAACTACATAAGGCACATAAACGAGACAATTAATGCATAAAATTAAGAGGGGATTGTTAGGTGAGA